AATGTGGTGCCAACTTTTAATGATGTGGGCCCTGGCTGCCTCCCTCACCAGACGAAACGCAGAATTATAACATAACACTACCACTTCACGTCGGTTTTCTATAAAATAAAATCCTATAAAAATGATAATAAAGAAAGCAGGCATTTTAATGTGTTTCTGCCTTATTTAAAAAGCCATATATTAGCTTTCGTTTAAATTTCTTCACGTTCAAAGCTTTACACCGATATGTTTCAGTGCGTTGACTTCTGCCTTATTTAAAAAGCCATATATTAGCTTTCGTTTAAATTTCTTCACGTTCAAAGCTTTACACCGATATGTTTCAGTGCGTTGACCTTAAATCGAACACAAATCGGTAACGTGTAAATCACATCTTACAATGTACAGTACGAGCCTTCATAACATCTGTTAACATTGCAAAACATATTTTAACTGTAAGGTAAAACGAGTTTCTCAAGAACGACCTTGCACTTACAGTGATTTACGCTTTGTGATTGGGTTCTCCAGCGTTGTGCTATTATAAAGGTAGTAACTAGATAAATCTTGTTCAGAACTATGTAACAACACGATTAAAAATAATGAAATTTTGTTACGTATAATAATCCAAAAAGCTATAAAGATATAAGCATGGACTAGTGTATATTGAACCTGTCTATTGCTCCAGAAATTATAAGCTCGATTGGCACTGTTACATAAATATTGTGTGATGTGTTTATCTCGTTTATATCGACTCTCTTTCTCTATCGACTCTATTTGCAGTACAGCAGTTGTACATCGAAGGTACAGTGCGGGTAGAGTGCATATAAACCTTCCACTCTATCTATTGCTGAAAACCGCATTAAAATCTCTTCGTAGTTTCAAAGCGCGTAGTTTAAAAGATCTAAGCGCACAAACAATGAGAGTGACTATACTACGTAAAGATAATATTTAATCGTGTTTCTCATTTTAGCTGGTATCCATGGGCTAGCTTTGCTTGGTTTCGGACTAGATAATGCTGTGTAAATATGTACTATAAAACATACTTTTTCACTACAAACGTCTCGTGGACCCGAATATGAATGATTTAATAACATTATAACGGTCCGTAACAATCATACTTTTTGTGCGAAATATTTATTGAGAACACCAATAAATACAGCATTGCCCAGCAAGTTGCCTCGAACAATTAAAACGGGGTGGTGAAATAAATCAATCGATTCGTGAAATACAGAACTTTGAACTCATTTTTCTCTTAACCCATTACTTGTTATCAATTGTGTCTACAATTCTGCATATTTACGAAGATGATGACAGAATGTTTGCATAATTAAGTTTACCTACATTCTTAGAATTTGGGATGTTTCACACAGACCAGGCTGCAACCTAATTGCTCACTTTCATGCTGCCGAAGAAGATTAGTCAGTTTCTTACTTTAAATTTTTGTAAACGAGCGGTAAGCGTAAAAGCTTGACAGCCAATTGCTCAACCATACAGGACAAAAAAAATAAAAAAATAAAACTAAACACATCTGACGAGACGTACCTATATCTAAACTGAAAGGGCCAATCTTTACTAAATATTTGGTAAACTTAAAATATTCGAAAAGGAAAACAAAGCATCCATAAGTAAAAAGTTAGTAATTTGTGTATTTTACATAAATTTCTTACAAGGATGAATGCGAGGCTATTTCTATATTAAAGTCTTTCAATTTCAGTAGCGAACGGTCGGGCGATTCCCAAACGGGTAAGTATTGTATGACCTACAGATCAGATCAGATACAGATCTGTAAAACGCTCTTACAACACAGGATAATGTTATATTAAAGCAAGGACAATGTTTTTAAAAGAAAAAAGAGACCCGTGTTGTACATTACATCATCAATTCATCAATATAAATAGTATAAGAAAAGTAAAAGTTTACACATGGCCCCCTCTATACAGAGGGTCGATGGGTATTGGTTAGACTTCGCATATCTTTTTATTGCTAGTATCATGAAAATATGCCGGTTTCCTCACAGTGCTTTCCACAATTCTATTATTACAATTTCTTTGGTGCTTTCTTTGGCACCAAAGAAATTTGGGTAATATTGAATTGAGAAAAAGGATCTGTGCAATTTCCGAGTTAAAATTTGATTTTAATTCCCAACTTTACAGAATCCATGTTCAAGGGGACAAAATGAAATGTTTTACGTCTTGATTTCATGGTTAATCTGGAACACCATAAATATCTTAAACAATTTATCTTGCCCGATCTCCGCATTGGTTATTCGCGTAAACTCAGGAATTAGTATCCTTAAAACAGTTTAAGTTATCGAAAACAAGCGACATGCATCTACAACAAACTGGCAACATCTATTTTATCATTAGACAATTTTTGTAATTATATTGATGTTAGACGGTTATAAGTATACAATCAATCAACAACCATTACGTATTTGCCGCACGACACTACGCTACGAGTTTGAAGGCGACGTTGCGGCGGCAGTGACTCATTATCCAACCATAAGGTTCACGCTATACTGATAGATTTACTGCTCCTATGTTTACTTTTGAGTCCTTTTTGTATATAACAAAAGAAGCTGCAATCATTTTGTTATTTATTGGAAAACAATCATTTTGTTATACATTGGAAAACAAAATTTTCTAAATCCCATTTTTCCTAGTTAGATCTTTTGATGTGAAACATCTTAACAGTTAAGTTTCATTCTTTTATCTTTAATACTTGAGGACTATCAAAAAATAAATAAATAATAAGGCGCTCTGTATTTAAAAAAAAGCACGTGAGCACATCCTCAAAAACTTGTCGGCAGGTCAACTCCATCGTTAATAGAATTTATATATATATATATATATATATATATATATATATAATTGTATGTATATATTTATTTATGTAAATATATATTTATGTAAGATATAGTTTGTGATATATATATTATATGAAGTATGTATGTACATACACCTGGTAGTATTTTTATATTTGTACTATAATTAACATGTGCAATATACATTTTTTACAACAGTTTATATTTTGTACAGCACAGGGTTCGCATTTTTATTTATTCTTTTGACATCTTTCTGTGCACCTACCGAAACTTCTCTGTACCACCCCAAGGTTGGCTGGGAGATAATGCCTGTGGCATTAAGTCCGCCTCTGTACAGTTTGTGCAAAAAGTATAAATAAATAGTAATTCAATTCCGCAAATTGTATTAATTATTCCACTATCTCACTCAGTTAATACGAACCTAGCTTGCTTGAATATATAGAATTGAAAGCGATCGAACAGACATCGACCGCTGCCGCGGCTAGTCACGGCGAAGATAACTAATAACATCGCAAAGTGTATTCGTGTGTTCGGTAATGTGTCGGAGTGAAGATATGATATGATGAATCACGATCGCTAACCAGAAATAAAAAATAAATTGAGAAGAAAACACTTACTGTAGAAAACCTCTACTTACTACCATTACTACCATTGCAATTAAAACGTAAAAAATTAAATGAACATGTAATTTTTATTTAATTTTAATAAATGGAGGCTTTTCTAAATGTATCTACTTTTTCTTAAATTCTAGACATAAATAATGTTATATAAAATGATAAATATTTAAAATCACTCGTAATTAAATAATTACATTCGTTTGAAGTTATCTCAAAAAGTGCGTGATTTATGGGGATCATTCATAACTAAACGCACACAAGTTCTTTTCAAAAGCATACGACGCATTTATGAATGTCTGCCGCATTGTCAACAAGTTCTGTTTTTTAGGGAATAGAAAAGCAAATTTTTTTTTGAAAAAAAAGAGTTTGTTTTTATTTCAACACACCATTATACTACCGAATCTGGACCTCCTGTGTGAATTTGGGCACCTTTGAAAAAGCCACCCCGTATATTACATATACTTAATATAAACATTAATAGTTTACATAATAAATAAAAAAAATTAAACGCTTGCAAATTTAATGCATGGTGCTATCAGCTATGGCACTATCATTGACAGGTTATGAGAAATTAACAACAATGAATAATTTTGTCACTTTTTCATTAACAATAACGTTATTTTTAACTATATATAAGTCAGAAGAATTACTATGAGTAGAGTCACAAAGATTAATGAAAGCACTAAAGTGTTTGCGATTTTAACAATTCGTTTCAAAGTCTGACGACTTAACGTAATTATCCTGTGTACATCCTATGGAATGACGCCAATATTATAGATAACAGCCTATGCACGTCACCGTCAATAAAACAATTTGTACAGAGAATTGTCTCAGTTACACTATTAGCCCACCTCAAGTTACAACCGGGCGTGTGAGTTTCTGCCTTATCAGCAAAAAATGCCTATGGAGTCACGTAGCGTTAATTACTCAACGGTGATACAGCGTTGTCAACCTAATTACTCATAAACTTGACGATAAGGCAGCCGATACAATATACGAAAGCTTTTTTTTTTGTTTACTGCTTACTTACTTTACGTTTCGAAACGTAGAGAATATTAATGTTACTTTTAATAGTATTGTTTTAAAAGTTCTTTAAGTTACCATAAAGGAATTTAAAGAAACACATTTCGCAATTAGGTAAAGTAACTTATTTTCTAAACATTATTTGACAATAAATTTGTCCGTTACTATGTGTTACGATATCTTTGCAAGCAAAAGTTAATGTTATTTTTAGGGAATACAGTTGGGTCATATCGAGACATTCTGGATTTCAATAAATTGTATCGGATATTATTCTTTACTTATACATTTATTATTTTTCGAAGTATTCGGCTTTTGTTATTTTCTGAATCTTTGCTGTTGCACAAATGGGTAGACTCATCCAGATTAAGGCAAATAACACGACCTCATACAGACTGACGGCGTGAAGTTATTTTAGTTTTTTTTTCTAAGTGAACTGTACCAGAAACATGTATGCTTCAAGTATTATACAAGTGCACATGAACTGATGAAAACAATTGAATCTACGTAATTAAATAATTAATATGCTTTCTGAAGGGAACGTAACAACTTTTTCTCCGCAGGTTCTTACAGCAAATATCGGCACATTGCTGGACCTGTACGGCGTGGAGAAAGGCTTGGACCACTTCCGGTCATCGTCGGAGCTGACGTTTGACGAGTTCAGACATTACCTTCAGCACGAGGTGTTCAGCTCACTGCCGAAGACCGTTACCCTGCCCGTCGTGAGAGAGTACGAGAAGAAGATAAGCGAGGTAAGGGAAAAACAGTTATAGATAGTGTAAGTGGCGGATTTGCCCTAAGGCCTAATAGGCCCGGGCCTAGGGTAACAAGATATATGATGGGCGCTGAGAAAGGGGCGACCGGTCCTAGGGCGACCAAGTCTACTAATCTGCCACTGGATAGTGTGTATGGGAACAAACCATTACATCTTCATTTTCAAACAGGAGCTTCTTCTGTTGCAAGAATGGGCAAGCTCTTCGGGGAAATACCGTAGCCTCGTAGAAGACCGCATTAAGAAAACTTGTCTACGTGAGGGTGTGACAATGAAGCTAGCGCTCACCTGATAAGCGATATCATAGACCATGGACAACGACAATGTCTGTGACGCTGCAGATGTGGCGCTAACTTTTTTAAAAGTCCAGCCCAGTAATACTTCAATCTGTAAGTAACAATCCGTTGCAGATGTCTTAGGGCATTAAATAATCATTAGGAGAAAGAACTTCAAAGAAAAAAGTTTAAGAGATAATGAAGAAAGCCCCTATGCCAGAAAAAAAATATTAATGTTGAAAAATCCGGTTACTTCCGTTGCTACATAAATATATCCCAAATAAGGGAACGAGAACGTAGAAAAGCTCAATACGCGGCTTTAACTATGAACATTTGTCACAAGTAACTTTCGCACTCCACATTCTTCATGAACTAGAGAATATCACGAACCAATGATATTTATCAAAGATTGACTCAAACTTCAGTTGCCAAGCGCAATTACTTAGGCTTTCCTTATCAGCCTGTTCCATCTACCGCTTCCGGCACTAATCGCGAGAACAATGCGTGTCTTGTTACGTACCGATATCCGATGGAGAAACAATCGCGGCCTGCATCGTGCGTCATTACGTTCAACGGACGCTTTGTGTCCGCGGCCCACATACAGCCGAGGCCAATCGACGCGGGCCTTGAAAATGGAATCGGACGAAAGCGCGTGTCTGCTGTTTTGAACGATCTAAACGGGAACACGTCAATAAACATTTGGATGACTCCGTGGCGCAGTTGCCAAGGTATCGACTTCAGCGTCGGGTCGTAGGTTTGATTCCCACACGACACCTGTTTGCGTGATCCACAGTTAGTTGTTTCGGATTGTCCACGTGAAACGTGTGTTTGTTAAACGGATGTTTGCTTTAAGTAAGGTTTTCAATAATCCAAAAAAGAAAATAGTTATAATAGACAGAGATTTTCAGGAAGGCGTCGCTTAAGTTTGCCATAATTCGTTGCGTGATATGTGAAAATTTTAAATTTGAAACCGACTATTGTGATTTTTCTGTTTCGTTACTGTTAATGGATGCGACATTCGAAAGTGTAGAAAGTCATCCGTTCGGTCATTTTTACGATAGATACTTTACTAATTTTAAATAAAACTGGACAATTTCCATTTTCAGCGTTATCTCGTCTTCCAAACGCCATTTTTGCCTTAATATACATCTACCAATACAGCTAGCTTCATTTCATTCGATTTCGATTTTACTATCATCGATAGGTTTTTCAGCTAAGTTAACAACCATCTACAAATAAAGAGAAAGTTGCAAACCTAAATAATTCAGTCTTTGCTCTCATAACTTTAAATCAAATCCAAAAGTTTAATCCAAAAAATTATGCGAAGATAGCAGCTATTTTTGTGAGATTTTTAAAGAACTTTTACCACTTGTCAATAATTGATATTAAATTTTCTCAGGTGTGCTGGTTCGTGTGCCGCAAAAGCCTGCTGAAGCGCGACAAGCCGGTTTTCGGTGACGAGTCTGTGTTCAAACTCTTCAGGATATTCTGCCTGTTGGCTGACCTGGTGCTTGACGCCGATGAGACGGACCGATACGTGGTAAGCAATCACAATTTACTTTTAAAGAATGGCATACGAGCAAGCGGTTCATAACTGTCGCCGTTAGAAACAAGACAACGAAACCTCCTCCTTTTTGGACTCTGTTAAAAATACGACTTTACGTCGATCCGGCCCGTTTTTACTTTTTGATAAAACCCAATACACGTAATGTAACTAATAATTTGATTACGTGTATAACACCGGTGGTGTTATACAATTCCGACTAAGACCATTGCGTTAAGTCATTCCCAATAAGACAATTGCGGCAACACAATATGTCTAACAAATTAGTATATGAGATAGTATCCAAGGATTGGTGCAATTTCAAAATCAAAACTTCCTAAACAACGTGTGGTATTTAATGAATGGTGTCCAATGCTAATACCATTGTACGAGGATATAACCAAACAGTCTAAAACGACATCCAATATTGACCTTTATGTCAATTTAGAATTGTGACCTTTACTAACTTTATGGAAGCTAGTAAAAGGTCACGCGCTTTCACAGCTTAATATTTCCCGTCAACTGTATGTCACCAAACAACACGCCAAGTAAATTATGTCGCATGTTGAACTCCGCTATAGCCACACCCATACAGGGGACGTCTATCATTATGATTTGTTTATATTTGGTTTCGTAATGTCAACTTCACTGACAACAAAACCAGGCCATACATGAACAATTTTTACCTTCGTTTGTCAGGAAATAGGATGATTATTATTCCTACCAACATAACGACATCGATAACCGATAAAGTAAGACATTAAAATAATATACAATAATTTTGTTAAATATCAATACTGTTAAAGTCAGGAGGTACTAATAATTAGTTAAGTATATAAAAAAAATCTCATTAAAAGAGGTCATGGCCGTAAGCAATGGAGATATTAAGGCGTGGGAGATTTTTTGGTCACTTTAATTTTCAAGAACATAAGCTACGTGCTTATTAGAAACACAAGTCATTGAGTATCTATGTATAAACATAACATTAGTATATAGCTCTGACAATTAGGCATAGTCACTCGCCGGGGTCATAATTACTCTGGGAGCCAAATTGTTCTTTCCGTACCCGAATTCCAATTTTTGAATTAGCGTAATAAATTTGGAAACTCTATTCTAATAATACGCTTACAATGATCTTCAATCGTAGGTGGTAGGGCTACGCAACAGCATTCGCTGTTGCACGAATGGACAGGTCTGTTCGGGAAGACCAGCGTGAAGTAGAAGTACACTTCTGCGTTTCGTCTGGTGAGTGGGGTAGCCGGGGCCCATTTTGTTAAGAGGTGGCAACGCATGTGCAACTCTACGGGCGCTATGTCTTTAATTGCCTACATGTTAATATTGTTTTTAACGCTTAGCGCTCGAACTCTGCGGTTTTAAGTTTAACAAGCTCGGTAAAAGTTAGCGTAAGCTTTGTCCGTCGTTAAAAGTTGCGAGAGGATGTCACGACATGTAAATTCGGAATAAACACTGTTCGCATTGCGTTAATCACAGTGCAAATCGTACATTACTAATGTGGCCGATCCAAAAAAGAAAATGTCGTATAGAATATTCATATGACGTCGCTACATCGAAGAGGCCGAACATGCTGGCCCCACATGTTAATAAGACGCATTGAAACAAGGATTGCCTGTTTGAGTCATTGACGCACGCATCCACAGTAAGTAACCTAATTAGACAAAGCCTTTTTCCTTTATTTATACCGTCCAAGTTGAGAATGAGCATTTCACTGTTGTACTCACGTATGTATGTATGCTTAGTGGCCTTTGGCTTTTAGTAAGGTTCAATAAGTGCAAGTTAACAAGTTCTAGAACGTGTCAAAAAATTTCCGAAGGATTCACAAAAGGACTGGTCGCTTATAGCAAGCCCAAAAAGTAGCTTCAGATGTGTTAACTTGTGTGAATGGCATCGTTCAAATTTGGGAGACAAAGCCGTGGGAGTGTTACTTGATTTTTATTTGAAAAACTAAATCTATCAAAAGTTTTTTTAAGCTTCTGCCACGTAGAATTTATGCATAACGTTATTACAATGTATACTTTCAAATCAGAAGACGATTTGTTTGCATCAATGATGATGTCTTACTTATATCTTTTGAGGTCTTACTTACATCTATTGTCTTTGCTCGAATCCTAAAACATAACTATTTTAGAGGTCGTTCGTGTCGTTGTGGTTTACCATATTATAAGTCCTAGGGCTTATAATAACTTTAAAATCTCTCGAATATGCTAGAGCGAGCCCTTGGAATCGTTAGCATTTGCGGGAAATTAGTGGTCTATGAAAACATAATACTGAAACCGAATATATCATTTAATAACAAACGTATTTGCGACCGAGCTTCGCTATGCGTTTTGTTGAAGATAAACAAAGCTTTGAGATCGCCATATTTTATGATAAAAAAAATCTGTTAAACGTTGGGTTTTCAGAAAACACGCCTATGTAGATAAAGTTAAAACCTAATTTAAAATTAAAATACAATTGTAGTCAGTCGTTCTGAGATATGCGAAATGTATTTTTATATACAAAAGACATTGACATTTCATACATCTGTTATTGTGTTATAAGCAGTGGAGCTATTACGTAAAAGTCACACACAACTGTGCAAAACGTGTGATGTGTTTCATAATATTTTTTTTTTCGTTTTACTATGTATTTTTTATGTTAGCGGTTTACATGTATATACCTTAAACATTGGGACAGTTCAATCCTTATGTGGCTTAATTTATGCAATAAATGTTTTCTTTCTTTCTTTATTTCATCCATTCTTTCTTTCTATTCACATTCATTGTCGCTCCAGGTGGTCCTCCAGCCGTCGGAAGCGGGAATAGTCGCCGAGCAGCTGGTCCACTGCTTGGGGCTGCGCTGGGATGCGGCCGATTGGGAGGCGCTGGGCTCTTCAATCGGCCACTTCAGGTGGGCGGCGTTCCTCGCGGTGCTGGAGGCCAAGTACTGCTGCGACCAGCAGCTGCACTCCGAGGCGCTAGTGGAGGCGGTCGACGAGATATACGACGTGTTCATCGAGGACATAATCAAGAAGGTGGGTCTCAATACTGAAGTTATTGACTGGTGTTTTTTAACTAGGAAATTTCCCCACTGTACCCATATCAGTCGATGCAAAGTGTTTTATTTCGTGGAATACCTATTTTCTTTCTATTTCGATATCCTTCGTTTAAAACAATGTCAATAGATGTCATTAATATGCATTCGTTACAAGAAATTTTTAAATGAGTTTTTTTTTAATGAAAATGTTAATTTCATCCTATAATTTTATTTTTCGTCAATAGCGGCATATTATATAGGCTTTAAAATTGTATCTGAATCAAAAATTTGATGAATAATTATGGAAGTTATGACGTCAAAAGACGCCATTGAGAAATAATACAGAGATTGTGTATTTCATTAGAAGTAATTTTACCTTTTTTACGGTATTTCCTTCGTACCCTTTAAATTGAGCATTTCATAAACTTCCAATTGGCCTTCAACGTGTAACAACGCGTATAAATTGTATGCAAAAACGTTTACTCCCTAGGGCTACCTCTACAAGCGGGGCTACCTATTGCCGACGATGCGCGAGTACTGGTGCGTGTTGCAGCCCTGCGCGCTCACGTACTATAAAAGCTCGTCGCAAAAGGAGCAGTGTGGAAGGATCGCCATCGATGAGTACTGCTCAGTTGAGGCGGCAGCTGGCGAGGGCAAGCTGCAGAGGTTCCAGCTAATCACGCCCGAGAGGACTTTTGAATTTGGAACGCAAGACCATAAGTACGTGGCGATCAACCAAAATTATTTGAAAACCTTGGCTTTAAAAATTATTTTCTAAGTTTGTTGATTTTAAAGGTCTATGACAATTATATATTTTGCCTTACGTATAGTAAAACACAGGAGTGTACTTTTTGACATTTTCTCATTCTTTATTGCATACGGAAAATGAACATTTACAAAAAAAATATCATTTTAAACAGGAAGTGGAGCTGCTTTAATATGACCTCGCTGAATAATGAGTCAATGATGTTTGTCACGATAAGATAATGCCTACAAAGAACGGCTGTTTTCTAGTCCTGAAAGTTTACTTACTTGGCTTTACTCTTTTTCTGACTCGGATAATGTTTGCCTTTCTCGATCAGATTATCAGAGCAACCTTATTTTTAAAACACGAGAGTGAATTTTTACGATGCGCCACCAATAATACTATATACAAGTAAGAGGTAGAGCACCGAAAGCTGCCGTCTTTGCCATACGCAAGATCAGGCAACTAACAAACGAGGCAACAGCTAAATTAGTTTATTTTGCTTACTTTCACAGTATTATGTCTTATGGTGTCTTACTTTGGGGTTCCGCATCCGGTTTAGACACGATATTTGTACTGCAAAAGCAAGCGATACGGGCTGTCTATGGCCTGGGTCCACGTGAGTCCCTTCGGCATATTTTTAAAAAGATAAACATCTTAACGCTCCCGTCGCTATACATACTTGAGAACATCATGTATGTACGAAATAAGTTACACCATTTTACAAAAAAACATACCACATCGCGTCGGGGCCGTGGTGACACGTTGGAAATACCGAGGTTTAGACTAGCTAAAACCAGGAAATCGTTTCTTGGTAGATGTATTAACTTATATAATAGAATAGGTGACATCCACAAACAATTAAGTTTAAATAATTTCAAACATTTTGTAAAAGCCACCTTAATGGAAAGGGCTTATTATAATGTCGAGGAATACATTGAGGACAAGGATGTGTGGAAATGACTCTTGCTCTGCACTTGCAAGTGGCTCCTGCTAAATTATACTAAAATAATTTTGTGTGTATACTTAAATACTTAAAAAAAATAGATTTTAAAGTTTTTTATAGTGCTAATCTCTACACTTGATTGATATCTTGGATTGAACATTAAAACATGTAGAAAAAGTACGAAAAGATTGTCGCCGCTGTGGGAATCGAACCCACGTCTTCGGCATTCGCGGCCTGACGCTCTAGCTACTGAGCTAAACGGCTGATTATCAGCTTTTCTCTCTTATGCTCTTTTCGTACTTTTTCTACATGTTTTAAAAAAAATAGAAATAAAATAGAAATATATAACCGCAGAGTTTCTTGCCGGTTCTTCTCTTGCAGGTCTAGTTTAGTGAACCGGTGGTAGTTTTTGACGTTCATAAGAGCTTAAAATAAGCCTATGTTGAATAAAGACATTTTGACTTGACTTGACTTGACTTGAAACTAAGGAAATTTTCTTTAGACTGCTATCTTTTTCCGTAACATACGTTCTATATCATCTTATTTCTATATATATATGTCATGTTATTTAAATCGGACCAATTTTTAAACGCCTCGTAATAAAATATACTATAACACGGCTACACTTATAAACAACACGAAGTTCATGGTGTTACCGTGGCAACCAGTAACAACTTTTTGACATTTAACTATAATTACAACTTAGTTAATTCATCACTATCCACTTACTACTTATCCAACCACTACCAACTGATTTTGTCACCCTTAAGAAGTATACGCTTTTACGTGCGCACAATCACGCGGTTTTTTTTATTTAAGTTTAAGGAAAGTGGAAAGCTTTAATTCGAAGATCATAAACCGTCGGTATCCTACTCTAACTGTAGTGACAATTCAGTATCGTTGCAACAGGAGCAGGTTGCAGTGGGTGTCTGCTCTGCGGCAGGCTGCGGCGGTGTCGGGGGGCGCCGAGGGTTACCAGAGGAGGGCCAGGGCGGGGCGGAGGGGGGCGGGGGCGAGGCGGGAGCGGGAGGCGCGGGAGACGCGCGCTCGTCTGCAGCACGAGGTGCGGGCGCGCCTCGCCGCAGAAGCCCAAGCACAAGTATGGGTCGCTTTTTTCTTTTTTTTTCTAGTCTATGGCCCATTTCGTGCCAGTGACGCACCACAGAAGCCCAGACAGGTGGTTGCTTTCTTCTTTTTTTCTTGTCTATGGCCCATTTTATGCCAGTGATAAAATTTATATAGAAATACTTTTTTAACTTACCAACTGTTCTATTTGCATCGACTACACTGTAGTATTCCTTCTTTTGTAGGTATTTTGATTATACATTTGCATGTGGGTATTTGTTATTCTTAACGTGGAAACTGAATATCGCATAAAGGTCAGTCTTGGTACACTCATGCTCTCTCATTAACGTGTCCAATTAACCCAACCCAAACATCTTTAATATGATGAGTAAGAATGAAGGATATTTAAATTTTTCGCATTAGCACGGATGTTGTGCTGCAGTATTTCTGATTTTTAACGGATTCATATTCAATACATGAATTAATTTGTGTATATTAAAAAGGGTATAATTTTCAGGAATTAGCCGAGTTATCCCAGAAAGATAACAAAAAATTAGAGGAATTGAAGAACGCACAAGCAGAACTAGAAAGGCTTTTGCAAGAGGAAACGCAGGCGAAGAGGGATGAAGAAATCGTGAGGGCACTACAAGCAAGGTTAATATCACGATTATTTATAGCGTAGCTCAATGTTTACTTTCAGATAACTAATTTTAAACATCTTTGTCATATTTTTAATTATTATGATAACTATAATGTTTTATTAAATTAAAATAAATAAATAAATAAACGATCATCCCTTGACAAGTAAAGGTTATATAGAACGAGGCGATTGTAATAGAATTTCAGCTACAAATTTGGAGAAACGTATGCGTATTATAATATGATTCTCGGTGCTTTCAGAGTCTTAGCAGAAGAATGGGAAAGAAGAGAAGAATTAGAACGTCTTCAAGAGGAACAAAATAGAATGCTAGAAGAGGAAAGACTGAAGAGGAAACAGTTTGAGTTGCTGCAAGCGGAGAAAGAGACACAATTCAGAGGTATGAAAAATCTAAACAGTTTGACACTATATTTTTAAATTTTAATAAAGTTCAAAAATTACTAAAATTAGATTAAATTTTAAATTATTATTCAATAGGTATATAGTTATTAATATTTAAAAAATGAACATTAAACTTTTCAACATCTGACAATTCACGAACATTTTCATTATTCCATCAGAGGCACAGAGGAGACTAAAAGAGTTGGAGCAAGAGAAGCAGCGACTCGACGCGGAACTAAAAGCAGCGCAAGAGAAAATATCAAAGACTGAACACAACGCACAGGCACTTCATGTACAATTAAGGGTAATGCAGTCAAAATAATATATTAGGAGGTTCACGCGAAACGCAGTGTGTTTGAATACCAAGCCATCCACTTGAAACGTAAACCTATACAGAATTAGTTAAAATTAACTTTCAGAGAAACAAGCTAAGCCAGCAAATCCCTAAGTCAGAATCCCCGAGTTCTAGAACGGATAATTGAGGCCGTGGTGGCTCTATTTGCTTTGTAAAATTGTATTATTCGAATGACCGTCGATGCACCTAAAAAAAAGGAAAGTTGCCCAGCAGTGGGCAAAAGCCTACTTTGCCCAGTGGGTATTAGAACTATGCCACCACGTGACCTGACTGCGGATTGGCCGACTCCACATATTTTATCTATTATTTTGAAAATATGCAGGTTTCTCGATGTCCTTCACCGCTGGGCGCATTAAATAAATATTTTTTTCTCTGTGCCCCTTGCGTCGCTTTAACACCAGCATGTAATTAATTTCAACAAATTTTCAGGACCATCCGATATTCCGTAACGGAGAGAGGGCCCGTCGCGCTCTCTCGTTCGTGCCAACCACAAAAAGTTCCTCCGACACTTTGATAGATGTCAAAGCTGTAAGACATCTCAAAGTCCTTGACGACGAAGAAAAACTATGATGGGGCCAAGCCGCTGCTAGAATTAACGGCAAAGCTGAAAAGTGCGATATAAATGAAGATAGCGGAGTGCGCGAATCATACAACTGATATATCGATCAGATAGACGCATTATACGTGTGTTGTTAAGTACTTAAAGATAATTTGGCTGTTTGAAATTACGCAGAGACGGTTAGGAAATGAGTTGCAACGAAATGCTTTTTAGACGCTTCTTTAGTATATTATAATGTTGTCAATAATAAAATATTTTGTATGAGTAAACGAAACGATTTTGTATATAACAGATATATTAAATAAAAAGAGTAAAGACATCATTGAATTCTTCGACGTCGAAGTCGATTACTTTTTCGCCTTTTTGTCCTCGGCCGCCTGCATTTTCTTTAGAAGCTTTTTGAGCTGAAAACAATACGGTTGAAGGGATTGGACCAGACTAGGAAATCAACATGATACGGATTTTAGGCAGGGATATCGGGGTTTCAGTTCTTCTTCTTCCCTTTCTTTGTTCTCCCTTTTAACTGCGATAAAAAAGTGTGTTAACGTTTTCAATTTACAATTACAACAACGCACAACTAGTATTACTTTATACAAAATATAACTTACACAATATTTCCGCAGGATTAATTATTTTATGTTTACTATAGAAAAGACCAGTTTAGATTCAACATAATGCAATAAAGATGAATACATACAAGTATAAGGCAAGTGCTTTGGTAATTTTGTTTCATACAGTACTTTTTGTAAATGTGTTAAGATATTTATAAATAAAATCTTTTCTTAAGTCTTACTCGTTTCTTTTCCACCCGATTCGCAAGAACCTCTCTCCAAGCATGTTGTATAACTCTTGCAGCGTGCTCGATAAGGAACTTGTTCATCTTCTCCGCCATCTCTTGCTGGTATTCTGCCTCTCTTTCCTCCATCAGAGGTATATATTCTTTGTCTTGTTCAGCTAGTTTCGCCTAGAACATAAATGCATGTACAAACTAAATAAAAACAACTGAAACTCCCATTTTATTCATATTTAATGGGATATTTGAATTAAATAATGATATGTCCCGTAGATCATTTCAATTGAGATTATTATATCCTGCCTTTAAGTAATACAATAATCTGCGTCATGAATATCTAATAAGGGTGGAATTTACATCATTTATTTACGTCAGCTGCGTAAAGTTATCATTACTGCTAATGATAATAATCACGACAAGCGGAAGTTAATTAATAAAAAAATTCACTGACCTCCAGTTCTTCGCATTTCTTTACCTCATCTTCGTATTTATCCGTGTACTCGTCGAGCTCCACTTGTTTGTCGGCCATTTCGCCGTCGTACTTTTGCAGCCACGACAGGAGCTGTGTCTCCACCTTAAGCCTTTATTTAAATCACTTACGTAAACTATTTAAATCACTACATAAACTATTTAAATTTTATACTATTTATTTTATATTATTTTATACTATTTATTAATATTATGTAAACTATTTAAATAACTTACGTAAACATAGCATTCATAAAAACTTAGTCATAATGATTCTTATCTCAAAAAGCAATAGCATTAGGTCTTGTTTATCTAAAACGCTTTGATTACGGATTATTCAGATGCATATATTCATAGTTTCGAATACATACAGCGAAATGTGTACGAAAAGAGACTTTTAGATGAATCGGTAATAGTTCTATTGGTTTACGTTTTAGTTGAACAAAGTCGAACGGGTATTTAAAAGTAGGCTTTGTGTTATATGATATGTGATAAAAAGTTAATTAATTATTGTGGTTAAGGAGTTGAATTGTTGATATATTCACTAACCGAAAAAGTTCTCTATATAAAGAAACAAATAATCTACAGCAGAGAATTTATACAGGAAGACTTTTCTAAGTGTATCCATTTTTTTCATTAAATTCTAGACATAAATAATGTTATATTAAAAATGATAAATGTTTTAAATCACTCGTAAGTAACTAATTACATTCATTTGAATTACATTCATTTCAAAAAGTGCGTTATTTATACGCAACTCATTTATTTTAAGCGCGTGAACAATTTTGTGTGCGTGAACAGTAAAATTTTGGTATTTATGAATGACTAACGCGTTGTCAACAAGTTCTGTTTTTTAGGGAATAGAATGGTATTTTTTTTTTGAAAAAAAAAACTGATTTTATTTCAATAAACGATTATACTACCGAGTCTGAACCTCCTGTGTAAATTTGGGCACCTTTAAAAAAGCCTAACAGATATATTAAATTTAATAATAATTATAATTAGTTAAAATACTAAAATAATACCTAAACGGACAAATTAGGCCTTCCATCCCTCGGTACTAAAAGGACGTCAATATTAAATTCTGTAACCCCACGGCTAAATTATTAAGACGAATAGAACAATATTTCCTACATCTGTATAAAGCAAAAATTTTGTTCTTCGACACGCTCCTAAACATGTACTATAAAGAAAACACTAAATCATCTCTCAAATTACAGAAAACCTAAAAGCTTTATTGTTTTGATGTAGCTTCCTAGAAACAACGTCTAATATAAGGATTGTATAAAAATATAACATCAAATTATCTGCGTAAACCTTAAATTGTAATGTTAGAACTAATTTCCAACGCCGTTTTCATTACCTGCGCGCTCTTTGATTTTTCTCGTCAACAAGATGCGCTTTCAAAAGCTGCTCATAATTCTCCCTGCTCTCTACTTCTTCCTCTTTTAGCATCTCACTTTTGACGATGTGCGCGCGAGTCGCTAACACCATCTGACGTTCCGAATCCAGTCTAAGGTCAAAGAAGATTGCAGTTTAAACTAGCAGTATGGTAGTATACTAAACAACAAATTTTTAAGTCAAAATGTCGTTACGAGTGTTTTTTTTTTTAATGAGAAAAGGTAGCAAGCAAGCTGGTGTTTTCATTTCAGAATAATGTTTAAATGTTGTTCTTTATCAAAAAGCTAGCAAAGTAAACATAAAGAAAACTTTTATTCAAAATCTATATATCTAGGCTAAAACAGTACTATGTATTACCATGTAGTATAATATTAAATATACTATGGAGCTACTGTATTGTACAGTACGGCAATACTATGGTCTAAATACTGTCATAGTACGGTACTATGAAAGTGTTTAGACATATAGTAGTACCCTAAGAATTAGAGAAGAGGTTTGAGCATTGAGGCGAGATAAAAATTTAATTGTACTGGATAAAAAGATAAAGTTCTCACATCTTTTTCTGGATCCTCACGGAAGTTTCTTGGTTTTGCACCGCAAGTTCTTTCTCTAAGCTTGCAATGATGTCGGCCTTGATTCGCATGTTCTCTTCAAAATTATCGGTCTCCTCTTTCAAAGTCTTTGTGTATTCTGTCTTAAAAATATTTTATAACATTATTATTAGTAGGTACACCATAAACATTTCAAAAAAATTCTTTGTTTGATCGAAAGAGTACTTTAAGCGTAACTAAATCCTTACTAATATTATAAAGGCGAAAGTTTGTATGAATGGATGGATGTTTGTTACTCTTTCACACAAATACTACTGAATGGATTTTAATTAAACTTTACAATAACATAGCTTAAACATCAGAATAACACATAGGCTATAATTTATACACATATTTTTATGCATATATGTCTTTCTGTCTGAATGTTACGCCTTCCGCCTATTCTACGCAGACGTAGTCGCGGGCAGCAGCTAGTACAGTATATATGAGGGGCATTAGTTATTCTCGGTTTCGAGGTGATATACGATCAGATAAATAATCTCATTAGTTAATTGTCATCACTAGTGATCAATACATCAGCACGAAAAGCAATTCAACAGGAGAAGGTGGTAAAAAGCTGGCGGTTCACCTGATGGTAAGTGACAGCCGCCGCCAATGGACATTTGCAACACCCGTAGGCTTGCAGATGTGTTGCCACCTTGTATTAAAGTGGGCCCCAGCTACCTCACTCACCAGACGAATCGCAGAAGTACTTCCACTTCACACCGGTCTTCTGATAGGTACTTATCCGGCGGACCAGCCCAATTGTGCAACAGCGAAGCCGGCTGCGCGGCCCTACCACCGTAAAGTTATTCGATTGCCTTCAATTCTGGTCCACATTTCGTTTAAAACTTATCAACTTAATATCATTAAATGTATAAGTGCGGGCCACCGTTTATTTTTTCAATCAGTTTCTCATTGGAGGCCTCCAGTTTCCTAGTCTTCAGCTTCATAGCCAGTTCTTCGGCGGCAGTAGTTTCCATTTGTTTCACCATTAGATCTCGAAAATTTTCAAATGCGAGAAGATATTTCAAGCTAGGCGTTAATTTATCCTGAAAAAGTAAAACATTTTTATTAGACAAGAAATTTTAACAAGAAAAACTGCCTCAAATATCTAACTCACTTTACATTTTCTATACGATCTTGAGTAGTTTTCAGATGTATCCCGGAGTCCATGGTTCAATGTCAATGAAATTAATATTAGCTAAACCGTACCCAATGCATAAATATTTTTTTAAAATTGGTAGATAAATGACGTTCTGGGGGAACAAACAAATAATATATGTTGAAGTAGCTTGAAAATGAACATTGTTATTTGTTTATAAAAAATTATTAGTTGAGCATTGGTAAAATAAATGTTATAGAAATATATTCATGCAAGCACAATAAAATGGAATATCTTTTCATCAAAATTAATTTTCATTGCCATAGACAACACATACTACTTACATTGTTTGCCTCCCTTTTCATCTGAAAGTAAATTGAGATATGATTAGATATTTAAATAAAAAATTGATTTAATAATCATGGCACTGAAATAAAATTGAGATGAAGTTAATTAACATATTACGAGTCAGTAGTAAATTCATTATCTTAAAAATATTATCTGTGGAATAAATAAGGCGAAGGATTTTCTTTTTTCTGTTTAAATGTTAAATCTTAAAATACGAAACTAGCCCTAAAGGCTATACAGCCTATCAAATTACCTCATCCACCATGTTGTTCACCACAGGCTTCAAGGCTGGATAACTGCTCATGATGTACAGCAGCAGACCTAGCTCGGGGTTCAGGCGATTCTTCAACGATATGTCACCCTGCAATTATAACAAAACTATATTTTTTCGCCTTAAATGTTTATACAATTCTATTCCTATTTTACGTAGTAATATTTCTTTTTCACTTGTGGTCCACATATTTCATTAATTTTGACTGAAATGCTGTTTGTTTGTTTCTTTTTTTTTTTTGTAAAAAGGTGGCATTCTAGCTGGCTATTCGCCTGATACGAAGTGAAGCAAGTGAGACCTGGCTATCGCTAAAGTATTATACTTGCACTTTACGCTGGTCATCTGTGATGTTGTGGTACTTACCCAGATGAGCCTGCCCATTCGTGCAACGGCCAAAGCTGTCGCGTGGCCCTATGGCGCATTAACACCGGTTCACTAATTTAGGCTTGTACAGAGAAGAACCGGCAAGAAACTACGGGCTTTATCTACTTTCTTTTAAAATGATACATATAATATAAGTTAAGCAGCAGTCAGGGAACTTGCAAGTGCAGAGCAAGAGTCATATCAATGAGCACACTAACATTTTTTAGATCGTCCATAGCGGCCAAGTTCAGAATACTGGTGGAGAACAGCGGACTGTCGTACTGCTCGAATATCAGCACTAGGTCGTCCATGTGCTGCGAAGACAGGATCGAGCTCAGGGTCCGGTACTCCTTCACCAAGTTGGGCAGGCACACGGCGAGCCTGGTCTTATAGATCGCCTCGTCAAGAATCTTGGTGATACGCTCCGCTTGAATGTGGCACTCCAAGTCGATTGGCGAAGTGACTGCAATTCAAACGAATCAGTGATATACCCGCTCTGTCCGTACGAACATTTTATATGGGGATTTCACATTCAAATTGACCTTGTATTTTTATATCCTTTTGAGAAAATAATTAATAAAAACTAACTTTCCCAATTTTGGGTGTCTGGAAAACTTGCTGTCAAAATTCACGTAGTACCGTATTATGATCATCCATCCTTTACAAACAGTTTCAATATCTTCAAAATATAAAAGAAAATTTTTGACGAATGGCACTAAAATTTGGTTTGTTTTTACTTTTGTTTACTTAAAATTTAAATTGTATAGCTACTGGCCTGCTATCGCTAAGTTTGTGCTATATATGCTATGGTTATAATAAAAATTTGCGAGCATAGCGAGTCCCAAAATGGTCACGTAGTGAGTTAACAGTATGGGGAAGTCCTAAGATTAAAGCAGTTGAATAATTTACCATTGTCCTTAGTGAAATCCTGTTCCTTCTCTTTACCAGAGCTAGCCGCCGACCTACTGCTGCCGGTCTTCGAGCTCTCTGAGAACGTTGATGGCGATTGCAAAGTTCCCAACGACTGGGAATCCATCACGGCGATAAGACAAAATGCGTGCCCAATAAATGTCTGGCCACGTTACGAGTTTTCGAGTTATGTGACACCCTTGACACTAACAAATGGTTGCCAAGACAACGTTTACCACCTAAACTAATCATAACAAAACAGGAGCAAAAGAGTTTTTTTCCGTTCTACATGCATTCACTTAATAACTATAAAACCTCATTATTGCTTAAAGAATTAAGCTCAGACCAAAGTCCTTCTTATTAATTGCTTTACGGCTATAATCTACTTCTCCGGCTGGTAGTAGAAAAAAAAACAAATTATTGACTTCACTATCGATAATATCATAAGAAAACTTGCAAATCGTTGTCTTCACGAGTTTACGAGATCAAGTATATAAGAAGCTATCAATTTTTGCTATATCTCGTTTGGCGCAGCATCGCAGGTCGGGCGATAATCTCGCTGTTATTTGTACTTTTGTACGTTGTTTTGTGACTTCACAGGATAACGATGTGATTAACGTTGGTGGGAGTAATACGAAAATTTCGTATCATAATTCATCACTCGAAATCCAACGCCGCCGGCTCCAAGGCATGTTTAATCGATACGTTCGAAAAAGTCACATTAATTTATTTATTATAAAGTATTTTTAATATATGAAGCATAAAGTTCTCATATATAGATGAAATAGATTATTTGAACACAATTATTTCGTCAGATTTTACACAGTTCAGACAAAGCGATTTGCCTATACGTATTTTTTTTTTTTTCAAAGGATCCATTACTAGAAACTAACATAACTCCATTACCGTAATTAGATTCTAATCCGTTTCTAAAAGAATATTATCCTTAAAATGAAATAGATAAAATGGGTTATCATTAAAATAAATACTTAGGAGAAAATCTAATTACGAAACATACGCGTTGACTTTAAGGCTACCCGTTGCTCAGTAACAAAGAGTAATTTGGTCAATACTTGTGTAGACTATTGAACGAGCAGTGCCTGTGAATACCTTTTTCTTACTAAAGGTCGGTAATCTTTCAAATTTGTTTAAGTACTAGCAGTAATTAAATATCAGCGCATGTGTTATTAATTACCATTCTATATGATTATATTAATCAGTGTTTAAAATCCCCATGCTGAATACATATGTAGTCTAATATTTGTTCGTCATGCGAATTTTGGTTTTTCAGCACAATCCCAAACGAATACACTTAATAATTCAAGTCGAAAATTAGTTTAAACTAGAAACCATGCTAGTTTTGCGGAACAATCCCACATGAATACAACTATGTCCGAAATTGTTTCAGCTAGAGACCGGTTGATAGAATAACACATCCAGCAACATGCCGAAGAAGACCAAGGTGAACAAGCTGGCGCGAATGTCGGACGAGGAACGCGCTAGATACCTCCAGCACAGAGCGGATGTTGAGGAGGAAGCCAGGCGGAAGAAACGGGAGCTGGTCGCGCGGTTTATCAAGGTTAAATATGAACGTGCATCATTTAACATGTTTCTTGACTTGTTTCTGCTGTCACACGATCGGACTGGTGTTTTTTTTATGTAAAAAGTTATCAAGCGAGCAGACGGTTCACCTGATGTTAAGTGAATACCGCCGCCCATAGACATTTGCTACACCCGAGGGTTGCAGATGCGGTGACAACCTTTTGAAAAATGGGCTCCGGCCCCCTCACTCACCAGACGAAACGCAAAAGTATTATACTTCCACTTTACGACTGCCTTCTGTGAGGTCGCGGTAATTACCCGGACGAGACTGCCCATTCGTGCTACAAGCGAGGCTGCAGCGTGACTCTAGCCCTAGGGTGGTAGAGTCACGCAGGTATCGCATCAAGGTAGGTGTGAAGAAAAAGTATTTATATTTTTGTTTTCGGTAATCGAATGAAAAAAGGCATGCGTTACAGATTCCCATTGGCGGTGGTATATATATATATAGTGAAATGATTGATTACATGCCAATTAATTATATAACTCTAATATTTTAAAATTAAAAGTAATTCTTTACTTTTTGAAGTTATTCTTCTTTATGCATTATTATTCTTCGTTATGAAAAAATTATGAAAGTGAAATCACTGTAACACCAAAGCATTTGAAGCTGCCCGCTAAACCGCTTATTTTCTTATGGATAGCAGCATATTCTCAATCACATTCGCCAGTTACAGTCCTCAATAAAGAATCTAGAAGGCGCTTTCTTAATTTTATATTATTTATATCCTTTTCCAGTATTTTTATTATTTTATTGTAATTAATTATTTGCGTGAAATTAAAAACTATTTTAATTTTTCCAGAGAAGTATAACTTCTCACGTGCGTACATAATTACACGCCCCCATTTTTTTTAAGGTAATCTTTATTTTTAGCCACGATTTTTCGTTAATTTCGGAACCAAAGATTATTTCTTATAAATACTGATTGATAGGTTATTGTCCAATTTAATAAATACCTATAGAAATTTTTGTATAATTATTATTATTCCTTATTGTCGTCCTTCCCTTATTACGTCTTGCTTTTAAACGTAATAGTATAAATTGTATACTTTTTATAAATTACCATTATGAAAGAAACTACTATTAAAAATTCATTGAACTTTAATATTAAAATTTATTTTTTTAATTTATTTATTAATTAAAAAAATAAATAAATTAAAAAAAAATTATTAAAAAAAACTTTTGCCCGGTGATTTGTAATGAATATGAGAATGGATGTAGCTTAAAGTAAGCTAGAGCGGAAAGATACTCACAATTTCTGTTTACTTTCAGAATAAACTTGACAAAGAAGAAACTTTCAGCAAGATGAACACGGCGAAAATCAACCAAGAGTGGCGTTTTATACTACGAAAAATTAAATGTAGACAAATGGCTCTGGACATACAAGTAATTTTTACAAGTTTATTTATATGCACAAAATGTTTGCTTTATACCTAGTAAATGTATTTTAGTTTGAAAACAAGACCTACCAGAGGTGCCCTCTGATAACACTCCAACATAGAGCTAACAAACAACAAAACGTAGTTTGCCCTCGCCTACGAAATCGACCCACCGCATGCATGAGTTACACCCTCGTTCAACTCCTCTGAAGATCAACATGCAGTTTACCTAACGATGTTTTCCTTCACCGCTTAACAATTTAACTGGTGCCAGCGCCGGAATTTGAACTCAGTTTGCTCGAGTATATTGAATTGAGAAAAATCGAGCGTTTTCGTCTTTAATTTTGATTTTAATTTCCGACTTTACAGAGTCCATGTTAACGAGACAAAATGAAATGTATTATTTCCTTATTTCATGGTGGGTTGGCCGGGATACCGTCAATTTTGTCACTATTATCTTGTTCGATCTATCCATTGAACTTGGCAACAGTTCTCTGTTGCACGAATGGGCAGGTCCGTCCGAGGAAGTGTCGCGACGTCACAGAAGATCGACGTTTAGTGGAAGCATTATTCTTTCGCGTTTTGTCTGGTGAGTGAGTAACTGGGGCTCACCGGTGTTGTACATGTCCATGGATGGCGATAAACACTTAGGGCAGTGATTAAATAAACAATTTTATTTTTTTCCCTGAATTCGTCAGGGTATGATCGTGACCTTCAACTTCTTAGTGGAGAGGAAGGACCGGCTGATAGCATCTCTTACTGGAGCCCTGAACGACTCCGACGAGCAACACCGCCGCGCCTTCCAAGCTCATACGGAAAACCTTAACTACTTCCTGAGTGAGTACTCTGTGCTGTCATGTATTTTAGCGAAGGGCAGATCAATTTCTATAAATGCATCGGTCATGTTCCAATATATGTAATCTTAAATGTGGGTACTTTTTACTTTGCTGTCAAATAAAGTTAAATGTTAGTGTTAAGCTACCTAGCTAATTGCATTATAGTACATACTTAACGTCTTTTATTATTATTCTGGACATAATGGTATCCTGTTGAGACACAAAATCATGGCCATAGCGCTGTCCTGACTCACATGCTGTGATCGATGAAACTTTAGTTATCCTGAGACTGATGCCGAAATATATCTTTCTTTCCACATGATCACAATGTAGATCTTCAAATCTTAAAAAAGTTAGAAAGTTTATGACCAACAATTTGGTCACAATGAAATTAGTATTGCAAAAGATTTAGTATTGCTTTAATTGCAAAAGACAGAGACATTTACAGTCGTTTCACTGCTTAACTATATAATTGTAATAGGTATGTGACCTTTCCGTGAATGTGTCGAGGTTTCATTAGAACTTATTAATGTTGCTTACTACGTACTAAACGTTTTTTAATCTGCATGTGAAGGCATCCACAGAAAGCCAGTGCCGTTGCAATTTCTGTCGCGGCTTTAAACTGAGCGGACACCTTTTATGTTGCATAAACTCTCATTATTCTGTTGTTGTTTTTTTTTTGTTTTTCTTTTATTATTACTTGCGAAATAAAAACGTTTTTCTTTATTCCTTCAATTTTACAAATACTGAAAATAATTACTTCTGCCACAATGATACGAGCAGGTCTTAATACAGGCTCAGTGACAGATCAAGCATGTGATTGGCTATGATTGTGATTTTACAAATTGCACAAGACTGCGTTATTGCGAAAGGGTTTCCAGTCAAACGCTTTACCCTATGATATCAAGTCATAATCATGACTGAAATAACTATATAATAATATTCACCAATACGCGGAACTGCAATATTCAGCTCCCGTCACATTGACTCGAAGTTCACTATAGTTTTAAAAAAAAATAAAAAGCGTTTCTGAATTTTATTCATGTTCATTTACTATTTATGCGCACACAGACACGTAAAATAAAAAGTTTACAAGAAAAAAAAAGTATAAATCAAATAAAAATAGACCCAACACACCACAATTACATAATTACTTATTCGAGATTATTTGCAGGGATTGGGTCACAAAGACTCGATAAGCTGCAGCACATTTATGATCACCGAAAGGACGTCCTGTTAGAGAACTGGGAAGGGGAGGAACTGGACATAACGAACAACCAGGACAGGGCAGAGTTGAAACTGACTCTAATCACATATATACAGGAGCGGGATTTCAAAACGTACAAGAATAATAAGGAAATAGAGATGCTGACGAAAAAAAATAACGAGAGGCTCGAAGTAAGTAATGTTATTGAATTATTAGCTTTTTTTTATTTTGAGTAAAGTGGGAAAAAATTTCAAAAATTGATAATATTAAAAATTGAACAAGGCCCTTGAAGTTTTGTGGCATGGCGAGGTTTACACAAAATATTTATACCGCAAAATAATTAGAAAGAGCACTATTTTTTTAGTTTTTTTTTTAATAGATTTACAAAATTCCTATTTCCGTTAACAATGTGGTTATGTAAAGTTAACTGGCGTCCCCGAACCGTTGCGTTCACCATTTAGCATTACATCACTGCTTATAACTAGGTTTGATTTGAATTTCAAGCACTGGCTATGCTGTGACATGAAATACACAGAGATTCTTAAACTAAAAAGAAATCTTGAACTGCTAGAACACCATTTGACATAAATAAAAACGCAGCAAACGTGGACTACTCAAATTACAGTTTGTTAAATATACGATGATACGCAGGACATTGATATTAATAAACTAGTGTCATTACAAAATAAAGTACCATATTGTGTTACGTTTAAAAAATACGGAACTTCATATACGACATATTTGTATGTCAATGTCAATGTCCTGCGTATCAACCTACATTTAACAGACTGTAGAAACTTATTAAACGGAGCAGTAACTTCACCACAGATTAGAATACCCCCTCGCCACGGGGCCCTGTACATCGCGTCCGTCATTTTTCCAATCGTCGCAATTATTCTTCCCCTTGTCGGAGAGGCATATAAGCAAATCCTTGGCGAAGTCGCACTTGTCATCCTTACTCGCTGCAAATAAAAGTGAACGGTCGTTTCAGTATTTTTATCATTATTTTGACATTACACTATATTGTCTGTCCCGTGACCATAAGAGGGTTCCAAAAGTCGGTAATTTAAAAATCTAATTAAACGCGATCCGTATAATAATTTCATTTCACAACTGTTTTGAAGATACCTACACTTCTTTTGGCGCGTTTGGAAAAAAATATGATAGTAATTTTTTTACGATGCGCGCGCGAGCAAAGATTAATGGGCGCAGGGGATAAAATCTTTAGCTTCATTTTTATTTTTCATTTGCTACGCTAAAGAAGATTAACTTCTTACGTGCGTACATAAACATACATAAAGTATACACACGTTTTTTTTATTATCTTTTGTTTTAGGGTTTTATTTAAAAGACTTATTTGTCCTAATGGTATGAGTATTACTAATTAAAGGCATTTTAACGCATTTGATTCTCTTTAAGTTTAGTATCGCGAATCCGATAAAGCTAATTTATGATGTGTAGTAAGTAATGAAAAAATCATTATTTTCTTTAATCGTGACACCTAAACTAAACAAAAGAAAGTGAATTTCGCGTTTTTATTTTTTAAGTATACCGAAAATTTAGAAATGTGAAGACTGTACCTACACGTTAAATCTATTGCATACTAGTGTTAAATGTTTTAAACATATTTATTTACTTGACTTTTTATATAAGAAAAGTATAGGTACTAGATAAATATTTATTTAATAATATTTTTTAATTTAATTTTAATTAACTAACATCATACACATACTTTTGATGACTTGCACTCGATAACGTTTGTTATTTACGTCAGTATTTAATATTTTAATTACATACCATTCAATATTTCGAAACATTCTTCAGTGGATTCCTGCAGAAACTCCTTCAATTCCTCGTCTTCAATGTCCTTTGTAATTGCTTGCATGACTAAATGCCTGTTAGGAAAACCTCTTTCGTCCGTCTACAATCGAAATAAATTTAAGAGTAAAAATAAACTTAAAAAATGTGTGTATAACATTAAATGTTATTTTAAAAAGTATATATTACTATAAATCATATCTTAATTCTATTTTCAGTACTTATACTATTGAGACGTGAACATTTTCCTTTTGTACCTATATTGGAAAATTTATTTCTGCGACTAGTGGACCGACTTAAGAATTTGATTTACAAATGCATCCCTTACTATAACTGCTCACAATATTCCCGAGGGAAGTCCTAAACAAACTCCTATACTGTCTTCCTCGTCTACGAACGAAGCTCTTATGTTATTCAAGCCGTAGTTAAAAATAGAATCCGTAAAGTAGTTATAATAATGTTACAGTCACCTTAATAACGTACCAAATCATTAAATGAATAATAATTGAATGTGCCCGTGTTGGGGGGAACTCTTTGAAATAGAGTAGGAACTGTATAGGCAATGAGATAATTGTTAATAAAAAATTTAGTGTCTTAATTTTTTTTTAAATTACCCTTACTTTAGAATAACCTTATCCTGTGTTTTAAGGACTTTTTACAAACGTAAACTTCACGTGGACAAACACCCAGATGCGAAGCCATTATCTGTGGGTCACACAAATTGTTGTCCCGTGTGGGAATCGAACCCACGACCGCGACGCCGGAACCTTGGCAACTTCGACACGGAGTCACCAAAGGTTGAGTTGGCGGGAAGATGTTAAAACATGTAGAAAAAGTACGAATAGTAAATAGTTCAATTACCATTTTCAGCGTCTCCATAAAGCAGTGTAGAGCGCATGCTTCATCCTTAGAGGAATCTTCGTTGTCTTCCGAGTCCTCTTCATCACGCAGGCTTTCATCCTCTTTGGGACGCCTCCTCGCGTTGGGGTTGTACCGACTCCTTTGCGGGGAGCTCTTTTCCTTTCTCCTACCTACCTCCTTTCGAATTGCGCGCTTGATCAGTGTACGGTAGTTCTCATACTGCGTCAAATCCTGTTAGGATGTAAAAAATCGTGAATGGTCGTGAACCCGTGTCCTTTCAGATACTATTGTCGTAATAGTGAATATTTATAGACAATATGTATTTCTATATTTCTAGGGTTACATACCCAACGGGTAAAACGGGACCCTATTACTAAGACTCCGCTGTCTGTATGTCTTTCTGTGTGTCCGTCTGTCATCAGGCCTGTCATAAACCGTGATATTTTGGCAGATGATGTATTTTTTAAACGAAGTTCTCTAATACTACTCGCGAGAAGTCTGAGTTGGTAGAAATTCCGTGACGACGGATACTAGGCGCTTTTATTTAAATACTAAAAAAACAAAAAATTTTCGCTTTCGCGTTACCGTCTTTCTTCTAGTATAGCAAGCACAGAACAAGAACTTGACAGTTAGTTATAAAACGAAAATCGACACCACTTACATCGCTGTAGTCCTCGCCAAGCTTAATCTCGCCGCCCCTCTCGATGCCGACCATTTCTCTTCTCCGATTGGTTCCCTCTTCATCTCCATCCGTACTCCTGTCGGCCTCGTCGTCCGTCGTGTAATCGTAGTCGCTCTTCTCCGTCGTCGTATCGGTCACGACGACCCTTTCCCACTGCCTATACCTTTTGGTGGTCCATTCGTTTTCTTTTATCTTTTTAATAGAATCATAGTTGTTTCTTGTGGTGCTTCGGTGCGTGGTTGTCGGCGCTTCGTCTCTGTGACTGTTCTGACTCTTACGGCTGTTCGGGAATCTTCGATTCGGTTTATCCGCGCACGACGAATATATTCTCATCAATTCACTTTCCTTGCTGGGCGCCGTTCTTATCCGACAGTTCAAAGCCTGCATAAAATAATTAACACAACAAAGATTTGTGAAAATAATTCCATAAAAACAATTATTCAAAGTTGTTATATCTTTTGTATTTTCTTCTTTAATTTATCAAACGACATTTGAAACATTAGCCCCTGCAACCATAAATGGTATCTGTAATTTGAGATTTTTATTTTTTGGTGAGAGAGGTAGTCGGAACCCAACATTCAAAATATTGTCAACGAATCTGCAACCCTCGGATGTAGCAGATGTACATGGACGGCGGTATTATTTATTCATTTAACATCAGGTGAACCGCCTGCTCGCTTTGCAACTTTTCACATTAAAAAATCTGCACTTAAGATGTAATTAAAATACGAGTTTAATATATAAATTGTTGAAAAATTGTTCGGCCATGCGGAATAGGAAATTGGAGTCTTCTTGTATTTCGAATATTTATCTAATAAACTCATATTTAAATAGCATGTAATTATAAATGCTATTTAAATGTGTGTGTTATTATTTTTAATTTTATGTTTGGATAAATTCATCATCGAACTCCATTTCCATTTCGCTCCAAAAGATCCAAGAAAAATAATAATTTAATATGACAACAAACAAACTAATAAATTCATTTCATTTTTAACCGTGTTAGGGTAAATTAAAATGTGGAAAGACATTACTTACATAACTTTCCACAATAAAAAAGGACAAACATATAACCAGAGAACATTGGAAACTGAACATGTCGCTTTCACCACGGCAACCACTTTAGAAGCGAGAACAATGTGATGGGTATAATATATAATCTGGTCACCACGCTCCACTACCCATCAGCCGGCTGGGAAATCACAACACTGAAGCCTCACTCGTGAATCTATGATCAATTGTTTGAATAATAAACATTCGCTATCGTCGTATACGTTTCTAGATCTCATAATAATCGAAGCGTTTCAATAAATCTTTTTAATGTCTCAAATCATACTAGTGGGCAGTTATTGCAATAGTCTTCTCGGTTTGATTTAAGGAGATATCTGCGCATGGTTTTCTTCGGAGGCTATAGACTGGTATAGGTACGTAAGCATTGACACATTTATATTAACTCAAAGGTTTCTGGGTATCATTATACCGCACAATTACATCTTTTGCCCTCCCCACAATACCAGCTTCATCCAATCAGTCTTTATTCTTTGAATAATCTATGTTCAAATTGTATCAGATCGGTCTGACTGTTTGACCCATGTAAACGACCATAACGCGTCTAACTTTGAACTTGTTATGGGACAACGATATGTCACGTTTACCATGGGAAGGGTTTTGAGGAACTTTTTGAATTAATTACTGCAGCTGACTTACACCATCGTAGATACTTCACTAAACCGCTCACAATTTTCCCGAATTCAGTACACTTAGGCACCTTGAAGAAAAGAGCCCATCCTCAATGTTTACAACTGTTCTCGCGTTATGTAAACCTGACGACGGCGATGACCGTGTAACATCAGATGATTCGCTTGCTTGAGTGCATCCTCTCCTATAAAAACGTTACCTATAGAATAATTGAGGATCTTGATACGTTGTCAGCAGGGACACGGCTGTGTTCGGACGAGGCTTTGGTTAAGCAATGCACTTTAAAGGGGTAAAATTATGATGTAGAATCCATATACGAATGCTTATTTGTAAATTATTATTATACAGTGTATTTAATATGAAATTCCCCATAGATTGGGACCTACGTGCAACTATTTTTTTTTTGACCCAATTTATTAATAATTTTAAAAACAAGTAATTTCTTCGTTGTTATATAACATCTTGTATTTAATTCAAAATATATATAGTGTAAATATTTATCGTAACACTATAGTGTAGAGAACTGTGTGTAAACATAAGCAACTTAATGTCACATTCATTCTAAAGTCCAAACAATGAAAGGATCGTTAGTTATCTACCACGGCTGTCACAGAGTGATTGATAATGTCCGACTTGGAAACGGAAATGTAAAAAGCCCCGCAATTATGCATTTGTAACGTAACCAACGAAGAATATTTTTTTATTCGTTGAATGTAACAGACAACAGATATACGTTAATAGACCAATTTTCGAAAATTGATTTTGTATTTGTGTACACTTATAATCTTTCTGATTTTTCATAAACTTAACGCAAAAATTAAACACAAACTTTCCTGTTTTTTAAACACTACGGGATTGAGTTCTTGACATATTATACGTATCAGTGACCTTTTAAGTTTTAATTATATTTCGGTTTTAACTCACGTAGCCTTCATTTTTAGACACAGGCTAGTGACTTCGAGGGCGGCACAAATCCTAGTGGCATGCACCATTAAGTCATATAGCCCAGCACATCTTACTATATGACATTCGTGCTTGGTTCTATCCTTACTTCCTTACTAATAATTATAAAGGCGAAGGTTTGTATGTATGAATGGATGTTTGTTACTCTTTCACGCAAATACTACTGAATGGATTTTAATGAAACTTTACAATAATATAGCTTATACATTAGAATACCACATAGGCTATAATTTATATACATGTTTTTATGTACATCTGTCTTTCTGTCTGAATATTACGCCTTCAGCCTATTCTACGCAGATGTAGTCGCGGAATTTAGATTTTTTATCTGATGTTTGTGCTTTCAGTCCCGAGACTATTAAAGCTTCATCTGACGCAGAACCGGTGGGATAGCCAGAACCCACGCGTTTGGGCCCTCCGCTGTGGGTAGGTCCACGCATGTGCACATGCGTGCGTTTAACTACGGCATGTCATCTAAGGGCCATCGAGGTTGCAGTGCGAACCGAGACCCCGATGGCCGTCGACTGTGTTTTGAGCTAATGTAGTCGCGGGCAGCAGTTAGTGAAGTACTAATTGTAACTTACGTAGTTATAGCATTCTCTAATAGTTTTACTCTGTGCGTATAAGTAGGCTAACCACGTATAAAACACAATCACTTCAACAATATAGCCAGATATCTAATATACTTTGAAATAATAACTGATTGAAAATTATGTCTGGTTTTACATATCCAAGATATGTATTTATTAACAAAAGAAATGTATCTTATTGTATGTTTAACAGTTACTTAAAACCTATAGTACAAGCTTTGCTTCCTATGGGAGGCCGTGCAAAAATATGTGCTGAAATATTTATTTATTACGCTTTTATAAGCCACACTATTGTTTTGTTTAGGCTGAAAATGCTACAGAATAAAATTGTACGATTAAAAGTCCCTTTTGCGTCTCAGCATGAAGAGCAAATGCGCAACCTATGTCGTCCGAAGCAGCTGGAAATAGAGACGTACTTCAACAGGCTTCAGGGCGTGTACAACACGTACCAGGAACAGCACAACCCTATCATGGGCCACTACAGAGCGCTGAGGGAGAAAGACGATTTCTACCAGAGGGACATCGCAAGAAATGACCAAATGATTGAGCACGCTGAGGTAAACTGACCTTTATGAAACTCATATTTTTCTATTCCAGGAATATTAAATGTACAATTGTCCATATTATGCTCAAAGAAAAATTTTGGATAAGGTTATGTTTATAGGGAAGATAACTTAGGAAGATAGAAGTAAGGAAAAAAGTGATCTTTATTAGTCCATTATGTTCTGTTTTAATATTTCGGAATAATCATCCAGCTTGTTCAAGACTGGTATTGAGCCACATTTTATTCTTAACTGTATAGCTTAAATTTAAACAGCATAAAGCTCTGACAATTATGCCTCATATTTTTACTTTAACGCAATTATTTCATACTAAGTATTTCAGAATAAAATCGATCGAATGTAGGATTTTTAAATGCTTTAAGTGTAGCTTATAATTGATTTCATTTGTGAATTTCCTCGGCTGTCTGTTTCAGCTTCGTGAGTCTACAGTTCAACTTCTACTCAACAAGTTAAGCTTAGTGTTTAAGCTTCTGGGCGCAAATCCGGAGGAGTAAATTTTTAACGTTCTTTTTTGTACAATTTTTGGTACATACAACGAATATATTATGTATTTTGGAGCTGTGAGCGTATAGCGAAGTCGGCGGACTTACAATTTTTGGATATAATTTCAAATACCTATGATTTGTGTGCTATATACTATGCTTTTCACACATTTATAATGCTTTTCACCTTGCCAAGTGTACAACAACAAGGCTTAGCACCAATGAGGATTAGAGGAAATGAAAAGAAACCAGCAGTGGTTTCTTTTCAGGATGCGCGTGACCTAGAAATTATTATCATATTATGGGATATTCAAAATGTGTTCTCAACTGGTTGTGATACTTATTTGAATATAGAGATACATATCTACTGCGGTACTCTAAATAAATAACAATAAAATGTAACCTGTGTATAGTTTAATATAAATAAATAACATCCCAACCTGGCAGAATCCCCACCAGAGGAAATCAAACAGCCGTTTAGAGGTATATCAGGAAAAGAGCGAAAGTCGCCAATATTATTATAAACAAGTGGAATGTCATTTCAAAAACTAACGGTGACTACGGTGGCACGCAGCAGCCTCGGCTGTTGCACGAATGGGCAGGCCCGTCCGGGTAAGTACCACGACCTCACTGAAGACCAGCATAAAGTGGAAGTATGACAAATACTTTCGCGTTTCGTCTGGTGAGTGAGGAAGCCGGAGCCCAATTTTCAAAAGGTTGTCAACGCCTCTGTAGCCCTCGGGTGTAGCATATGTCCATGGGCGGCGGTATTCACTTACCATCAGGTGAACAGTCTGCTCGTTTGGCAACTTTTCACATAAAAAAAAAACTAAAAAACCCGACTGAGTTTCTTTGTATTTTTTATTTTGATATACCCACTGTCACTCTCACAGAAAATACGGTTCTAACGACACCTCTCAAGCTAACATCCATCAAGCAGTTAAGGCTGCACAGCGTGCCAAACAATTATACATACATACATACTCTCGAAAACATAGACCTCCTTCTTTCGCAGTCGGGTAATTAAGACTCAACTATTTTATATTGCTAGGAAATACTAGCGAATCTCCAAAACGAGTGGACGAGAACGATAAAAACGATGGGGGCTAAGTTGGACCGCATGGTCAGCCGAAAAGAGGAGCTGGCACGGCGCTATTGGCAGATGAAGAAGGAATCAAAGGCCACCAGTAACAAAGATAACGACAAGCTAACAGTACTGGTGAATTCTAGTCAAGATGCTATTAAGGTTAGTTCTTTGTGAAATCGGACACCTAAACATTGTGGGAGTTTTATATAAAAGAGTTTCAGATCCTCAATATCGATATATTTATTATAAAAAATGGAAACCTAATTAAGGATTTCTACGTGAACATAAATCTAATGAAATTATTTTGTCATCTTAAAATTTCAATGTCATAGTAAGTGATAAACGAAAAATTTGTTTAAAACAAAATTATAGGTAGGTACTTTTCAAAGAGAGGTGAACCTCCTGCCGCTTTTTTCCCGTAACAAAAAAAGAAAATGTAACTTGCTCCGAAGGTTGGGCGTCCCATGTAGCAACCCTACGGGTTTTGCAAATGTCAATGGGTGGCGGTTATCACTAAACTTAACATCAGGTGAACCGCCTGTTCTCTTGCCTCCTTCTCACATAAAAAAGCGTGCAAAATGGGTGTCCAACTCCCAATTCATACGACGATAATGTTAGTAAGTAAGTACCTAATATTCGCGATTTATCCCTACCGCAAATTATTGAAAACTTCTGGAATTAATATATTTCATGGCTACAACATCACAATCAAAAACATTCATAAAATAATAAAAAACCCGTAAAACTCCCTTTATTTACCTAAAATTTACATTAATAAAATACGTAGCACCTGCTCACTATTTAAATAACAGCAGCTGTTACAACCGATTAATATAGGTATATTAGTCAATTTGAACTAGATTAATACTGTTCGATAGAGTTCGATAGATTAATACGGTCGAGCCGTGATAGCTCAGTGTCCGGGCATTCGCCTTTAATTCAATATACTCGGGCAACCTGAGTTCGATCCCCGGTGCCGGCACCAATGAAGTTTTTAACTTTAAGTGCTGACTTATCACGTGCTCCGCGGTGAAGGAAAACATCGTGAGGAAACCTGCATATTTTCGAAATAATAACAAAAAAAATATTTCGAAGATATGTGAAGTCCGCCAATCCGCAGTGGGGCCGCGTGGTGGACTATGCCCTGATACCCTCTGTATAGAGGAGGCCTTTTCCCAGCAGTGGGACATGTGTAGGCTGTTACTTTACTTTTTTTTTTACTTTAATACTGTTGGTCATATTTTGCTGTTAAACTAAAAGTAGGCATTTTATTTTTAATCAAATGTAATGGCCAAAACTGCCTCTCAGAACGCCGGCGTGAATTAGATCTGTTTGTAGTTTGGCATTTTCTCTGTCAGAGTAACCAGGGTCCTCTTTCTATAAGGTAATTATTGAAACTATAGTACCACTTGTGTACATGCGTATCGGGTGAGTTGCTACTCGTAAACTCCCGTCATAAAAAGAAATCGCTAAAATAATTGAAACCTTTTTCTTTTCAGAGATTAGAAGAAGTGAAAGAAAAAATAAATAAAATCAACCTGATGTATCAAATATGCAGCAAGTATGAGAATGAAGAATTGGACGTGCTTGGGAGTTCGAATGGGCAGTGGATACCGCAAAGCTACGAAACCCTCGACGAAGCAATGATTGTACGGCATTTTTAATAACTATACCTAGTACATGTATAATAACTCATACCTACTAGTAATAACTCGTACTAGTATAACATACAACTTATTTATTTAAACAGGAGGAATGTAAAGAATATATGAAGATGGGCAATTTCCTTCTCAAAGTAAACAGAGTCAAAGTGCAAACGATATGTCTCAGGGCAGAGAAAGCTAAGCTTGCGAAGGAAAATGTTCAGCTGAAGCACTACATCAAGAAGTATCTAACGGAACTCGCTCTCAAGGACGGGAAGGACCGACCAATGAGCTTGAAACCACCTCGGATGCAATACATCGACGACGACGTCAAAATGTATGTTTGTTTTTAATTCAAGACTTAATCAACGGTATGCGAAGATTAGGGTTACAAATGCGTTTCCACCTTTTAATAAAACTCACCAGACGAAACACAAAAGTGAAACACTTCCATTTCCAGTAAATCTTCTGTGAAATTGTGGTACTTCCCCGGAGGGATCTGCCCATTCGTGCAACAGCGAAAACTGGTGCGTGGCCTTACACAGTTGAATATTGTAACTGTTATAAACGCCCGGTTTCTGAAACATCGTAGTAATTAACTCATCAACTATCAAATGGCTTTTCAAATGTCGTTTAAGTTGCCAAAAGGATGCTTAAACTCTGTGAATGATGACATATGATTAGATAATTTCTACGATGATCAGGGGTTCAGAAACCGGGCGTCAGTCTGCCAATGTGTGGGCTAATAGCAGATTTAAAGATAGAGTAAGGAACGTTGAAACATTTAGACATTTCAATCTTTTAAATAAAGAATAATGTAGTACTGAATATGATGACTCCGTAGCGCAGTCGTTAAGGCAGTGGCTTCAGCGTCGGGGGTAGTGAGTTCGATTACCACACAGGACACTATTTATGCGACCCACAGATGTTTGTACACGTAAAATTTAGGTTTGTAAAACGTCTTGACAACACAGGATAGTGTTATCCTAAACTAAGGGCAATGTTTTTAATAAAACAATTTAAAAAATGAAACAAGATAACAAAACAAGTATTGACAGAATATGTGTATGAAGAGGTTCTTAAGGGGCGCTCACAAAGTTTTTTTTTATGTGAGCAAGTGGCAAACGAGCTGGCGGTTCACTTGATGTTAAGTGATAACCGCCGCCCATGAATTTTTTCAGCACCCGTAGGGTCGCAAATGCGTTGTACAGCTCTTGGCATTATTAAGCGATATCCTGGAGGAAATCTTTAAAAGATAGTCTCATACAGAAAAAATTCATTCCGCTCGATAGTTCGGAGATACAGAGATCTCCTGCGTAAAGGATCGGGGAGTAACACTCCTATCTATTTCGCTGTGCCGTCTTTACTCCTGAGGGTGCATCACGACTGCCCGTGAACCTATTGTCCGATTTGAGGCGCCACTAACGACAGATCAAGCGCTCAGTTCAACCGCTTTAACCCAATAACTTCAAGAGGTCCTCGGATATAAGCGAGATTCGAAGTTTGTAAAATAAAAACAAAAGGATGAATTCGCATCCATTACGTTGTTCGTGGACCAAAATAAATATATACCTATAAGTTTACATTATTCACACAATACACAGGCGGCTAGTTCACATAATTGTTTTATAGACGTATCCCATTCGTATGCAGGTATTCGTGAGATAAAACAACTGTATCGAGTTTGAACATAACATTAGTAACAAAAACTTTCCTTTCCTACAGAAATTGTTAAACAACTGTATAAAGTTTGAACATGAGTGACAAGATTGTATTACATACTTCATACAGCGTGTCTTTACCACCGCGAAAATAAATGAACACACGTCTAACGCTACCTACTTGCCAATAATCATAAAAAAATATTAACGTTAAAAAAGTCCATAATTAAAATAATATTTTTCAAACAAACTAATTAATTAAAAAGGAAACAAAATTTGTAACATATAGGATGTTGTGTGTGTCAATTGTGTGTTCATTTATTGTCGCGATGGCAAAAACACGCTGTATAATACTAATACTGTCTAAAAACTGAAATTTTTTTATATATTGTTTTTTATTCTTCCCTACAGGCATCGTCCAGTAACTTGCATAGAAGGAGCACTTTCAAATGCTGTCATGTATGAGAAGAGAATGAAGCTTCAAGAAAGAAGAGATAAAGAAACAGGTGGCATTCGTTCATATCCAAGAATAAACTGCTGGTAGCCTAAGGCTTTTAAAATTAAAGTACTTTTAAATAAAATGCATAAACAACGAACAAGATTTTAAATTGTAATAATCAATACGTGTATCATTTGCTGCCATGATAGCTCATTGTCCATGCTCGCTTTTAATTCAATATAGTCGAGCAATCCAATTTCAATCCCCAGTACCGGCACCAATGAAATTGTTGATTTTAAGCACTACCTCATCACATGCTGTGTGGGGAAAGAAAACATTGTGAAGAATCCAGCATATTTTCGAAATAACAACAAAAAAACATTTCGAAGATATGTGAAGCCCACCAATCCACAGTGGCTTTGCATTATAGACTATGCTCTAGTATCTATTTATTGCTCCTATCTCTTCATTATCATCATTGTTTCAGCCTGTTATAGTCCAAGGCTAGACATAGGTTTCCCTCATAAGGTGCCCAAAAGCAAAAATCGGAGCCATTTTCAGCCATCTACTTCCCAGTTTCCTACATTTGTCCCTCATAACTAATTTAAAGAGGCTGTTTGTGGTCAATGTCTATATGAACAAATCGAAATTGTCTTGAATTAACAAATCTCAAGTACATTCTCATTATTAGACATCCACAATTCTTCATATGCTAAAAGAATAAACATCAGACCAAAAAAGAAAACAATGATAAAATAGGATATGGGACATACAGGTTAATATATTACGATCACGCTACATTAAGTAGGTACATCAAAAATGTAAATTTATTATTTCATGAATTTTTAATTATCAACATCCATTTGGGATTTCAAATAATGAAGTAAAACCATAAGTTATTAAAAATAAAGATTATCTATATTTGAAATATGACAATAAAAATGATAATACTTAGAAACAAGTTATTACAAAACCTCAAATAATCTAAATGTTTAAACTATATTTAACTTAACCTCAATTATTTAACTTGCAACTTGTTAACTTATATCATCTTGGCTTCATTATAACCACTGTACCACAATCATATAACATTAACTTTCTTCAGTATGTGGCAATTGTCCAAGTGCAGGGAAAAATTTGTGTAAATTACAACTTGTTTTAATATTATTAAAAAAATATTTCATTTCTTTCTCATTATTTTTGATTCTATTTTTACCAACAGCATGTTGTTAAATTCTACAAATTTAACAAATTACTTAGACAATTAGCCAAGACATGAAACCTTTGTTAATTTAACAATAAAAATGAATGAAGTACAAAGATTAAATAAAAGAAAATTCTACAACATAAACCAAACAGATCTTTTCGCTGTTTTACTCCATTGGAGTCACGCCATTCATATTACTCAGATGCTCTCCAAGATTCCAAGGTTCATCTAGTGCTAACAATAACTTTGCAAGACTTTTATGCCCTTCTGTATCAATATTTTTTGCCATATCATCGGAAAATGGCACGTATTCATCACATACTATACTTTTGCCTTGTGATACCCCGTATATCTCGTACCAGCCTTCCAATGCTTCGCTAAGTGGCCTCTTTAATCTTATAAGAATTTCCTGCTCATCTACTGTCTTAACATAAAAGCCTTCACTAGCGGAAACTTTTGTAACTTTACCCCATAAACATACTTTGGCGCCGTTTTTTTGAGCAAGGTTGCCGGCAGTTACGTACGGAACAAACTCATCATTATCAGGATACTGGTTATCTTCGAAATCGTCGTGATCACCCATATTTACTTGAATTGTATTTAAATACTAAATGAAACAATCGAAAAATCAAATTTTAGTCAAGTTTTTAACCTTGATAAGTTTGATTTGCTTTGACAGTTGACTTTTTTTACATTTGAGTTGAGAACATTTGAAGTAGGGATGAGGCGTATATACTGGAACAGGTATAAATACCCAGTAGAGATGGGTCGTATCGCTTTTTCTGAGTACCGTATCTGAATCAGATTTCGATTTCAAATATCAGATTTCGAAACTATGTATTTTAATATCTAGATATTTTACGGTCCCGTATCCACCTTGAATTCTAAAAATAATAATAATAATAATAATAATAATAATATAATATTTATTTTATATATGCAATATATATCTATATTTTTATTTTCATTTATAAACCCAACCAGACGAGAAAACAAATGAATATCCCCCTATAATAATAAAAAAATAAATTTCATTAAAAATAGAAATTGAAGTAATATAAAAATGATTTATTTCAACATCTTATATATCGCTTAAAATAATTGAGTTTAACATATTCTTAGAACACGCAATCATTAGTGACAATATTTTTATAATTTGTGTAAGAAATAATACATTCAGTATTATAACTTAGGGCGGAAGAATTTAAAATATACACACAAAGCACATAAGCCTTGGTCTGATTTCCACCCAAGCGGCACAGATTTTTTTTTTTCCAAAAATATGAATAAAATTTAACGAATAAAAATATTCACAAAAAATTTACCTCCTAAAAAATTTCCATTTATATTTTTCTTCCTTAATTTAGGCAGAAAATTCTTAAGTAGTAAGTTGGCATCCCTTACTATTACGTGCTAGGTACCAATGCAATCCAGCTCAAGGTTAAACAAAATTTAAAGACATCGTTAATACCCGTAATTCGTATTTAAATGCAACTAAAAATGTTTTTTTCCATGCTGTTAAGATTCAAAATTACTTAACTACGCGCTTTGTCGCCCGTTACGGCTCAAGGCTAAACAAAACAATAAAAATATACTTAATAATATCATTGTAGTAATCGTTGATACCATGATTAGTATTTAATTGAAACGGATCTTATTGGCATGGTTTTAAGATTCAAAATTACTTAACTTATTCAAAATATCTGGTTAAACATCTGAAATTGTGCCTTGCTTGCCGTACTGCTCTAACTAGTGTAATATTTGTATCTCACGCGCTTTGTCGCTCAAAATCTGTTTAAAAATCTGATATCGTGCATTGCTTGCCGTCCCGCTCTAACTAGTGAGTATTTATATCTCACGCGTTCTGTCGCTCGATATCTGATATCGTGCATTGCTTGCCGTTCCGCTCTAACTAGTGAGTATTTGTATCTCACGCGCTTTGTCTCTCGAAATCTGTTTAAAAATCAGATATTGTGGCAAACGCGTATGATATCGCGATTCGTGTCTGTATAGCGAGCGAGCACGTTACATCAGATTTCGGAAATATCAGATATTGTAAAATACATAGATATTGAACGAGCCAGTAAGCGATATTCGGATATTGTACTAATATCTAGTTTTCATATCTGATACGATATGTATCGCCCACCACTAATACCCAGTATGAACATGCCAGTACGCACACCGGGTATGTACGGCAGAGGCCCGTTCCATACCCGATAGGTATGGCTGGGTATGGCCGCCTCGTCCGACGGTGGCGGTATATAACGCTCGCGACAACCCGCCCGCATACCGGGTATGACGTATGTACGGCAGAGGCCCGTTCCATACCCGATAGGTATGGCCGCCTCGTCCAACGGTGGCGGTATATAACGCTCGCGACAACCCGCCGGCCGAATAGGTACGAAGTTCCCCGAATGCTTACGGCGGCTCTTCCCGATCATGCCCGAATTGAAACGTATGATTTTGGCATTTTATACCAAATAATTCCTTGAGATAAATTTATTCTTTATTTCTATGACCATAAGTTAAATAAATAATTGCGTAATAAGGTTAAACAGTAATATTTATTTAGAATTACTTTTTTTTGATAATAGGGTTCTTTACGTTAGTAAAGATGGAGTTTATTTTAGACTGATTAAATCTCAATTTAAAAAAACTGATTGCTAAAAAACATCTAAATGTTCCAATTCCAACCAAAGAAAAGTTCAATTCCATACCGGGTCTACAAAAGGAGGCCTGAACATAACTAATACCTATAGGTATTTTGATACTGGGTTTTAGCACTTGGGTTTAGGGTATACGGCGATACCCGTACCTTTGAGGCCGGGTATAGAATGTTGCAGGTATATCTCATGCCTAACTCCTATATTACGATAATCAAAACAATATAAAAACATCTCGCTTTTTTTTCTGCCCAATTTCTTTATTATTAACTTGTTCAAAGAAGAGTACAACAAAAACCATAGGAAATAACCATATGAAAATAAAAATCAGGAGTTCAGATGTAAAGATAACCATCTCAATGAGTTTAAGTAACAATTTAAAACGTCACCAGAATAGGCTAGCGTAGACATGGCATGGCCAAGCACATGCGCGCTTTACTTTAAGATGAGGTCCGCCAACTTATTGGTTCTGAAATTGCTTCTAAACTCCCAATTTCCGCCTGGTCGTTTGCCTCCTTTTTCATAAAGAAGTCAGTGTATAGTACTGAGATACCATTTCCAACAGTTTGATTACTAATTTACCCACGATCAGTGAGCTGAACGATCCTTTGTCTATGCGCCAGATTACCGTTTAGCAACAGCGGAACAAAAAGAACGATCTCCATTGAAAATGTTCCAGGAGAACTTTTGAGGTATGGGAGATCAGAATTGATTAGGGGCCATTGGAAACTATTCACCCGATTGTGGGATGATTTTTTTTTTAATTTTAGTGCTTGTCTCTGCATTTAAGATGAAATCTGTGATGTTTAGCTTAGTGGCTACTGGCCTAGACCGTGTTGACGCGTAATCTAGAAGGCGCAGGTTCGAACTCTGGCAGCGGCGAAATTTCTTGAGACAATTTTTCTTTTACGGCTCTCAATATATGCTTAAAAACGGAATTCTTTTACTAAAATATCACCGATCGCTCATTGCTCAAACCTTTGATCACAAAAATGTTCGATATATTATAAAAGGTAATGTAGGAAATTACTAAAAAAGTTTTGACTTTTTTGGTTTTAGGTTTGGTACGTGGGGCCATACATTACGTGGCACAGTGCTTTAGCCTGAAGATAAATATGAAGAGGTACAAATGTTACGTTAAAATCCGTCAAATGATTTATTCTGTACAGTGAATTAGTGTAAATAGAAATACATAATTATACACTTACATCGCTCAAAAAACATTACCGTCCTTCGTCAGTCAGGGAAAAGACGAAAGTATAGTTCACAGATTTTATTGTTAGAACTGCTTAGGAAAGTTCTTATTCTAAGGACACTTTCGTGCATTCTTAAATTATAGGAGAAAATATTGAATCATATTGTTTTCATGCAAAAATCGGTCGCACAAATGTTACGGAATAAAAAGAAAAAGAAAGGGTATTCAAATTTATTTGTCTTATAATTATACAGCATTCCAATTGAAATTACACTTGTCAACTACTTAGGATTAAGCGAAGACGTCTTCTCTATCAGCAGCGAGGGTTGGAGCTGTGGCATCTTCCATAGCCGCAAAGTTCATAAAATGGGCAGGCCTGTGCACTTCATGATAGAATTCACGAGGATTGCCTAACTGGACTCCATACTTCATATTTGGATCATGCCGGACACCTAAGGATCAATCATGTTGTTAATTAAAACATTTTAATAACACTTTAATTCATACCAATATTATAAAGGCAAAAGTTTGAATGTATGGATGGGTGTTTGTTACTCTTTTATGCAAATACTACTGAATGGATTTTAATGAAACTACAATAATATAGCTTATACACCAGAATAACACATAGGCTATAATTTATATACATATTTATATATATATCTTTCTTTCTGTCTGAATGTTACGCCTTCAGCCTATTCAACGCAGACGTAGTCGCGGGCAGCAGCTAGTAAATTATAGATAGATTGCTCTTGGCTAATAACAGCAATTTATTCAGTGCATATTTTAAGTGTATTTTTACATTTATAACATATTTCTAGTATTTGCAAATAAATAAAACATAATCTTTAAGTAAAATATATTAGTGATCAAGTCATATTATCAAAGCCTTTAAAAACTTGCTTTCATCAATTGTTATTAATAAACCAAAGACTTTATATACAGCGTGTTGTTACAACCGCGACAATAAATGAAAACACATATAGAGGATAACTAATTAAAATTGTATGAACATTTACATTCATTAAACATCAATACTTAGAGTTATAAAATTTTCCAAAACAAACAATTATAGAATACTTACATAAAAAACTGTAACGTAAAGTGCATTTGTAAAGATCACAAAGCATATAAATGACTTGAATGAATTTAAAAGAGATAAAACATACTGTTAGAAGGAGAGATTTGTAATGCGACGCTGTGGCAACGAATGAAAAAGTCTCTGAATGTATGAATCAGTCAGATGTAGTTGTATAGGATATTACAATTTTTGTTTCATTATTATTTCATTAGTTTGTTTAAAAATATACTTTTTTAATTATGGATTTTTTTTATGATTATTGCCAAGTAGCGTTAGATGTGTGTTCATTTATTGTCGCGGTTGTAACGACACACTGTATGCTTGGGCAAAAGTTATGAAATAAGATATTATAATATCTTTCTTATGTAAATTCAATTAACTCACCCATGAAATTGTAATTCCAACTGCCTTGAGATGGTACCATGAAGTAGCCAAGGAATCGATCAGACAGCAGCATCTGAACTCTTTCATAATGGCTGGGCAGATACCCTTTGGGGTTATTTCCTCTATCTGTATTTTTAGCTCCCCATTCATATCCGCTTGGTGTGAGTTTGTATGCAGTGAGGGAGCAGGAACCAGGTGTGAAAGAGCAAGTGATGATAATTGTCTTCTCTCCATCCCATGACGTGTTTTCGGCCATGATTTTCGCGTGCGTCGTGATGTCCTTTAACAAATTAAGAATTTGGTATAAAGGGTACAAAGATACTGAGTTGGAATAAAATATATACCTAAATCTGATATTAACTACACTAAAATTATGAAACCAATAATACATAATTTTGTAAAAGTGTTTACTTCGTAATATTATTCCAAACAATTTTAGTTTTAATTTGGGAATGATGATAAGCTTTATATTGGATTAGCGCGACTGTTTTATGTAGTAATCATTTATCGAAATTGACTAATGTCGGCCGAAGACGTGGGTTCGATTCTCACAGCGGCGACAATCTTTTCGTACTTTTTCTACATGTTTTAATGTTCAATCTTAAGTGCAGAGATTAGCACTATAAAACACTTTAAAATTTATAATGTAAATGATATTAATTTTTATTTTCTGCAATTTAGGGCATCTTTTTACAAATTTGAAATTGACGATTCTGTTAGAGGGTAAACTTTAATATGATAAACAACAGCAAAAGGAGGGAGTGAAAGAGACCGAAGTATACGCTATGTAGCTTTCTACACCAAAATCAGCCCCCCTTTTTCTTAATTAGATCCCTTTAATTATAAAGGTGCGTAATGGTAACCAAATAGCCCACCTGGGGCGAGAGCTGCGGCAGCTCGTTGGGCTGTGTGTGCATCCAGCCAAGCGGCTGCAGGTGGGCGAGGGCTGGGTGGCGGGGCAGCTGGCGCGGCAGGTGCACCTGCTGGTGGGTGCCCCACTGCGGTGGCACCACAGCGCACTGCACCTCGCGCACCATAGGGTTGTCCGGAGGCGATGTCCCGTAAAGGTAGCACGCGATCTGGCAACGATTAAAAATAAATTTGAGTTGTCCACCCATTGGCGTAGTTGATTGTGAAACTGTCTTGCATCAGAGGTTGTGGGTTCGATCCCCATAGATGGAAAAATATTGAAGAACATTGTGTTTTTTTAGTGTCTTGGTGTTTATTTATCTACTATAATATGTATTTCGTTACAAAAGTATGTTTATATAAAATATATATAAACTTAGTGCTTGCTTATTTTGGGACTAGATAATGTTGTTGAAAAATATGTCCTGGAAATATTTTTCTATTTAATGATCACCATTAAGCTTATTATTGTGCAAGGTGAGCCTCACAGAACAGTATGGTAAGTTTATAAGTATCAGAAGGATATTGGTTTCTCATTTACACATCTGTGGATAACTAAAGAAAGTATATAAATTTACCTGAGCCCTGAGGTCCGATATAGTGACAAACTTCTTGAGGAGGTTCTTTGGCAAGATGTAAGTGTAGCCACTCTCTTTTATATCATCTGAGCTGACATAAATGTGATTTGTACGCAAATGTAAGTTTGTCGCCGAGATGGCACGAACACGCCATTCAGTCTTGGAACTGTGAAAAAAGAATAAAAACCCATTATAAAATTTTAATTACGAAGAATTATTATACTATAATTTTTTTTATAAAAACTGATTTATAGTATTTGATTTTATAGTATATAACATAAGAAATCATTATTTAAGATTTTTTGTTCTTTATTTATCAGTTTTTGTGTTCAATACCTATTACTTTAAAACATATAAATTTAAGAGTCAATTGTGATATTTAAAAAAAGCAATCTGACAGTAAAAAGCGAATTTATAATTGCTGTAAGTAAATAGAGATGGATGCAGGTGGCTCAGGATCGAGCTCCATGGCAGTCTGTGGGGGAGGCCTGGGTTTTTATGATGATGATGATGGAATAGTGATGGGCGCAATGATCACCTGAAGGTCTGCGACTCGTAGTTACTGGTGGTGGACGTGATGATTTCGTCGCCGTGCTTGTTTACGGTGCGCGTGGTGGTGGCGGTGAGCTGGCTCTGCTCCTTGCTCTGCTTCTCGATCTCGGCTATCTGCTGCCGCTGCGCTGACGGCGCGGATATCTCCATGCCCAGTATGATGTCGCGGATCTCGGATTGCGTGAGGGAAGCCACGTTCACGCTGTGACAAAGCAGTTACTTTGCAATCTCTTTCTGGTACAACTAAAGTTAGCAGTGGACTAATTTTACCGTTGACAATTTATTTGATGTTAATAATTGTGCCACGAATTGTGCAGATCAAGGAGCTAAGCTCTGGGCCGGAAAGATTTAATTTGTCATCGACATGCAAAGAAGACAAACAATTCACTTAGAACAATTCACTTAGAATTATAAAAGCTTATTTATTTCTTGTATAGCTACACTACTGAAACATCATTAATAGTGATATTTTTTCTATTATGTAACGAGTTGGACATTAATTTAATCATGTTGGGCGTAACTTATTATAATATGATTGTGGAAAAATACAGAAATATAAAAGACATATGTTATATGATTTTGTGTCTAAAGCCAATAGAAATTATTTAACTTGTTGTATGCACTAGAGTTATTTAAAATAGACTTGGGATATACTTCAAACGATAATCCCTTACTTATTCTTTTTGCCGTAATCGGCAAGTATTAGGTCCTTGAGTTGAACCTCCACTTTTATCCAGTCATCATCAGATAGAGTTGGCCAGATATGGTGTGGCTCAGTGAGTGTGGTCTTGTCTGGTTTTAAGAGGACCTTGGTACGCTCGGTGTTCACGTGCAACGCGCGAAGAATCAGAATCAATCTACTGAATGCCTGCGAAATAGATTCTCAAATAGAACCACCTAATAGACTTAGTTCAAGCAAAGTAAATAATAATAATTTCTTCTTAAATATCTTCATTTATATGCCATTCTCCTATTATTAAAATACTTACGGTGTATGAAGAAATAGTCTTTAGCCAGTCGTCGTAAAGGTTAAATAGTACCATCTGAGGTTCTGTGGCTTTCAATATCAAGTCACCAAATTTCTCCACTTTAAGGCAAGCTTGGAACGGTAGCTGCAGTTCCGATCCTTTAATCACGATGTTCGGGAAGTCGAGTAAATGGACCTAAAATAATAAAATATTGTATTTTTTTCTAGACATGCACTTTGTTTAATTTTTTTCATGTCATGTAGAAACTAGGAGAGGAGTAAAGCGTCATTGTAGATTAGAATTCAAATTGATAGGGTTTAGTTAGCTAACCTCCAAAGGATCCAACATTCCTTTTCTGGTGACGATAATTTGTTTCGGTTGCTCTTCCACGGGCAGAGATCTAATTAAAGCGGCAACTTCTTCGGCGGTCTTCCATTTGGCGAGCTGTATATTAAAAGTTGAAAACATTTAACTATACATTATATATTATCTAGTACCCATAGTGCAAGAGTTGCTTACTTTGGTTTTAGAGAATGTGTTAAAAATGTGTCCTAAAATATTTATCTTATATATAAAAATGAATTACTGTTCGTTAGTCTCGCTAAAATTAGAGAACGGCTGGACCGATTTGGCTAATTTTGGTTTTGAAATATTTGTGGCAGTCCAGGGAAGATTTAAACGATGAGAAATTATGGAAAAATTGCACGCAAAATAGAAATAGCAACAATTTTATTTTCGCATACAAACTGTACCTGTCAAACTGTCAACTATGCTGTGTAACCTGTCAAACACTTTGTGCCTGCGCTCGTTCGGATTTCTCTAGAAATAATTTATATGCCAAAACAATGTTTGCCGAGTCAGCTAGTTTATTTATATTTTTGTATCAACACATTGTAATTTAGGTTGAACATGTAATATGTGAGTGGTTCTCAAATAGATTATTATAACATTTAAGAACTTCATTTCATCTTACCTGTCCCAAACGCTTCTGCCCAGCCCATACGCTGGTGTGGATGATTTTGAGGAACAGTTGACCAGTGCGCGGATTGAAGATGAAAATGGCGCCATTAATGGGCTTGGTTGTAAGATTGCCTTCAAAAGTCTTGTGAATCGTGACACGGTATACATTTGTGTCGTCCACGAACCTGTTGAGCGGAGGTAATATAATTTTCGAAGTTATAATCATTTTGGCGCGTTAGGGCAAAATGATTAGAGTAAATTTTTACGATAAGCGCGCACAACGCAAGAAAAACCGACACCCTGAAGTTAGCTAGTCATCTAAGTATGTTTGCGTGAGAACTGACAACTGTATTCACGATATTTATTTTGTGATATTTAAATAAACTTTATATCACTAGATAATGCGTTATATACATTCAATGCATTAAATACCTTTTTTCTATTGTTAGTGCCGTTTTTTTCTACAAACGTAAAATAAGGCGAAAGATGAAATTTTTGAAAAGATTATTATTTAGTTACGCCAAAGAAGTATAACTTCTAACGCGTGTACATAAGTACACACACACACTTTTTTTTATACTTCTAACACGTAAATACAATATCTGGCAAGCTTAACATAACAGCTTTAGACCCGACAATATGACTGTCTTCATGAGAAAAGTGGGTATGCTTATACTTGTTAATGCATTCACCATCCAAGACATGCTTACCATTGAGACTTACTATCCTTCTCGCATAACACAAGCCTGTTTCTTAAGATAAACGAAAAATTATTAAGTAATATATTGGGACTTACCAAATAATTTGATTAGAGAACAACTCTCCATAATTCTGACTCGAAAGATAGGGTTCTGTCGGCTCAGAGGAATACAGTTGCAAGGCTTTGCGTATACGTTCACGGAGTACGTACAAGGCTGGATTAGCCTTCATGATCTTCGCCATCGCTTGTTGGATCAGCGGCTTGCAGCCAGGGAACCAGTTGCCATAGGCGCTATTAAACAAAAATATTAATTAGGGACATCACAATTTAAAGTACATGTTTTAGCTTTCCGAGTCCTCTAGTTTTTTGGATTTTATGCGCGTAGAATTAATACGTCTTCCGCTCAGAGTGTCTTTTCAATGTCTTTTCAAGGCAATTGTGAATAGACTTTGTAGATAATGTGTTAATCAAATAAGACTACATGCATCACTGCTTTCCACAAAGTGATATAAAACCAGTAACTGGCGAGCTTTTGTAATATGTTAAGCATTTTAAAAAGAAAGTTTGCATACAGAAAACATTAGGCAATATACACATACGAATTTATGACGATAAGCATGTGAACATATTAAATTTGAATCATAATATTAAAATTAGGAATATGAAAACACTATTGGCATTAATGAATCGCAAAAATAATAATAAATGAAGGTAATAACAAATCTTATTAGTCTTTTCTCATTTCCAAAAAGAGATGTCAGATATGCATTCCTTCTCTAACCTGTGGAGATTGTACGCGAGATCGATGGCGATAAGCAGCCCGGTGGGGGATGGGTAGATGGACATGTTGTCTGTGGTGTAGTCCAGAAACTTTGCACGAGCGTATCGCTCCACATCGTGAGAATCGTAGTCGCCCCAGCGCAGTTGGATATCCAGCCAGTACTTCTGAGTAGTTGTGTTGTCCATTGTGTCCCTGCGCAAAGTTATTCATGTAAAACTAAACTTAACATAAATAGCAGGTTTATTAAAACATTTTTTTCTCCCACTATCCTCTTTGAACGCGCAGCGTAAGATTTATGTATAAATTTACATAGCTAATTCTGGAAAGTACAAGAAATTGCTACAATCCACAATACGAAATGTTCATAATGTACATTGAATAATTAAGTGCGATCATATGGTTTGGTGTATGGAGGTATAAATTAAAAAGGAAATGCTACAAAATCCCGGTTACTATACCTCTCTAGATCTTCATTCATAGTTGTTATAAAACATGGCAGAATAAACTTATTTTTCAACTTTAATATACTTACTTGGAGTCGGCGAGTAGAGAAGGCCGAGACACGTTCCACTTGTACGCCGAGAAGAGCAGAATGTCCGCGCACGATGAATTCATTTTGTAAGACTTTCGGGGATGGATTGTTTCCTTTTGGACTGTCTCGATTTCCAGTGCATCTAACTCTTGATCGAATACCTAGAATAACAATACTCGTTATAAACGATCGAAAATAATTTATGAGAAGCACTTATTAATTTTTTCGTATCATATGTTTGAATAAATTTATAAAAATTCTCATTTACCTGACACAAATCCATTACGATCGACTCATGCACCTTCTGCCACAAGTGAGCTCTGAATATCTGGATTAGCGAAATTTTCAGTGTAGGTATTTTGCCGTGCATGAAAATACCCGTTAAATCCAGTTGCACCTAAATAGAAAGTAAAGTTATTAAAACACAATATCAAAGGCACATTATTATAAAATACATTTTTAAAGTAAATCAGGTCTTGTTTTCGCCATTTGCGAAGTGATAATGGACAACGTTCATAATAAAATATCATAAATAAAGAAACTTAACATTAAGGCATTTAAGAAAAATCTAAATCAATCTCGGTTACCTGGAAACCGACGTACACATTAGCCCTGTTGATTGTTGGTGACCACCATAGTGTAAAACGACGATTCGGGATTTGGTTCAGACCGGAACGCTGTGCGTTTGTGAGCTTCTTATACTTCATCGACTCCTCGAAACCGGATGCTTTCTCCCTGAGAAATCAAACAATGCCAAATAAGAACACTGAATAGAGCCACTAAGCAGGTACTAAAGCAGGATGAATTGAATTTATTCTTGCCTAGCAGACGTCTAACCGTGTGAACCGTGGATCCTGGCCTAAGACAGACACATCACCGACATTTTGTGGGTATTAAACACCCATTTTTACCAAATTGTCTGGACGAAACACAAGTGTACTTTTACTTCACACTAGAGTTATAGAGCCATGGTACTTTCCCTGCCTGCACATTTATATGACCAGAGAAGCTCTCAAGTAAGCGTATGTTTATGTTACTCTGTCAATTAAAGGTTGGCCTTTATTTAACAGAGTACCATATTTTGTTAAGCAACATTTTTTTCTTATATTGGCGTCTGGGAAACGGTGATTACTTAGAGTAAGAGTTACTTACTTAAACGGTGAATGGATGCTTATCTGCAATACTTGAGAATTATAAAGAAAATATAAATAGGAGTATTTGGTAGTTTTGTAATACTGACCAGAACAAACCCTCCCATGTAGGGAAGTAGGTGCCTTTGAAGAGGGTGTGTTCAAGGATGCCTTCTACTCCTCCGAGGGCTTGTATCATGTCGGTACGGTAATTGTTCAAGTTCCAGAGTTTGCCGTCGTGCCGCTGATGCGTCCACCAGAATGGATTCTGTTTCAAAACCTGGAAAACAATCGCAATTTTAAATGTTATTTAGAGCTATTAGTAGCTAATTAGTAGCTAGTAATACATTAAATTTGCACACATTTTTCACAATCACACATCAATTGTTAGTAAATTGATGGCATTAATTAAATATTATATTGACATGATAATACGTAGTTTGTGTAGGATAATATTATACTGTTAATAATATCAAAGTAATAATAAGAAAATAAGCGTCCAAATTAGCAAGACATAAATAAAATGAATCTTTTAAATACCTGATACTGTTTAAACTCAGTACGGATACGCCATCCCTTGTCGTAGGCCAATGTGTGTCGGTCCTTTTGGAACAGCGTGTTGATCCTTGGGATGCCCCTGTCCCATGAGTCTTCCAAGTCTTCAAGAGTCAAACGCCTAAAGGGAACGGGATATTGAGTTATTTTTATAATAACAATACTTGCTGCTTGAAAATGGACGTTAGTACATAATAAGAAAGCATATTTACAGACGCATAACGCTAGGCAACGTCGCGATCAGCGCGTACCCAGTCGTCATACGCCCCCAGAGCACACGGCTCCTCTGGGTTCTGGACCCCTACGCGACTCATCACTCCATATGCGCATCTACCACTTAACAAAATACACGTGGTATTAAGGAAAAATAAAAGAAAATTAACGCAAAATATTTATATATTGTTAGTTTTTTTATTCATTAGATCTTCTTTCACCTGTTTTGGGCGTTGGCTTCCTGCCTCTTAAGCGCGTATTCAGCCCAGACGCGTTGCGAGTCGACAAACTCCGCCTCCCACGGTTGGATGTAACGGTACAAGTTGGGAATAAGCTGGTCCTCGTCGTGTGACATACCGGAACGGAAGTGGGTGATGCCCACGTCCGTTTGCTTCGACCAACGAAGATCAGACTGAAATGAAAATTCGAATAAAGCAACTTATATTGGAATATAAATAGCGCGCGCAAAAGGTAAATGCACCTTGCTTCGCTCAAGTTATTTTTTCATACATTTACAAATCACTCGCATGGTTGATTTACAAATCAACATACTTTGTGTGTCTTGTTCATAGTACACATAGTTGAGTTCATTATTATTTTTTATGGAACATGAATTTGATATTCTATAGACTTCTAAATTAACACAATTTTAAAGTTTCAGGAGATTCAACTGTGAAAAGCAACTTTTCAGGATTCCCATTGAGTTTGTTAACATAATAATATGTCTATCTGTCATATTTATTTTATCTGCCTCCTATAAATCTAAGTTGTTACGACTCTATTACTGAGTGGATGAAAGAAAACGGGTTTCTTTAGAGATTTTGTGAATACTTATTTCTAAAACAAGTATTTTACCTGTGGTATAAGCACGTGACCCATAGACAACATTCCAAGTCCGCCCAGCTCCTTCGGTGTGTAGAAGACGACGGGCGGGAAACGCGATGGCATTTTAGAGTTGAGACCGATCTTGATACGGGTCTGTATTTTGTTCTCGCATTTCACTAGCAGGTCCAATAGCTCTTGCGTGTTTACCACGGCCTCACGGAAGTATGTCATAAGGCCTGGTAGAAGACAAATCATTGTTATACCTAATAAATATTCCTAACTTAGGTATGATAAAATATGAATATTATTAGGTTTCAATATCAAAAGTATGTTGAAAGCCTGCCAAGTAATGATGTTCTATTATAAAGATAGATCAATATAATAGATAAGCGTTTAGCATTACATTGGTAATATTGTTGCATGGTAACTTTAGATCAGAAAGCGTATTCTCAGACAAACAGTGCTGGGGTACAACGCGATCGGCGCGTCCACAGCCACTGAGTGCCCCCAGAGCACAGGGCCCCTCTGGTTTCAGGACCCCTACGCAAATCATCACATCTAATGGTTCCGACTATACAACAGTGCCTTCAATATTCATTACAACAACAACTACAATAGAAATCAATTTCCAAAATGGAAGGCAGCTTGCATTAACATATCATTTCCGTACTATGCACTACATGGTTTGTGTTAAGAAAATTGAAAAGATTGATGGATAACAGTGCAATTTCAATATTTGTAATTTTTAGCACATTAAAACTGTGCTTATGATAGTTACACAGACTAGTAGTTGTGGCACTGGCTTTGTAGATGTTGCTGTAAGTATGAAATCTCACCAATGAGTGCGGTGTTCCACTTGTTTACGATCTTGGTGAAGGTGGTGGAACCGGAGGCCATGAGGATCTGGCGCACGCGGTTGTGGAACCGCGCCAGCGACTCGTCATCCACGCGAAGGTAGCACTGGGCGGTGCGCTCTTTCGTTACCTCGTTCTGAAGGTTCCACACGCCATCGCGATGGGACAATTCCTCGTGCTGGCTACGACACTACAAACAAATATAAAAATCGTCAGAGTATAAGAAATATCGTAAAATTTTAAATGTGATTGTTTCTGTGAAATGTAATTTTTATTAACTATTACTTGCATAAACAATGAAATCTATATGAAAGGAGCATTAATTGACTACAGTTACTTATATTGTGTAAAGGTATTAACTTTGATTTTAATTCATTTCATGATTGTATTTGATTAACTCACCTTGGGCAAAATTCTGCATTCAAAGCCAGCCATGTTGAAAAGTAGGTTGGGGTTATCCTTCGAGTATACAGACACGAAACTGTTTTCCCATTGGATTGTGGTAACTGAGCGGGGCAGACGATTCTTTATGTCCCAGAATACCGCACGACCTCTGGTAGAGAAAGGTGAAAATAATACTATAAGCTAAAATTAAATAATGTGTAACTTAATAACTTGGTCTCGTGAATTTAGGGCAGTAACTGCAAAGTTTAGATTTAATCAAAATATCCAAAAACTGAAAAGCTCACAAAACGGAAAATGTTTTTGTGAAATATAATGATGTGTGGAGCGAGGCAGAAAGTGAACTTCAGTGCAAGCGAGAGAGCAATACTCTCACTTTACACAGCAGACTCCATAATCTGTTTCTATTTATTTTCTAACACTGACTTAGAAGACTTTGAAATTCACATGAATATTTTGCACTAAATATTAAATTTTTAAACTTTCATACAATTTTCATTACAGCATTAAAATTTTTTAATCCACCATAATGGAAATTGTTTGAAAGTTTTAAACAAGTATAATTAATAGTAAACTAGCCTGACAAATAGATTTTAATATAATATTTCTTTCAATAATGCGATGAAATAAACTGACAACAATAAATGCAAAGATGTGCATGTGTGTCTGTTTTCTTTTCATTATTCACTGGCTTGGAATTAGATTCAGATTGGAAGTCACAGGATAACATACAACTCAAATATTATCTAATAACAATTACCTTTACTATTTTACTAATTAAAATGTTGTTTGTAAAAAAGGCTATTTGAAAAATACTTACAGATTGACATCATGTTTCATAAGACGCATACGGGCATCTCTAGGCCAGCATTTCTTGTTGTTATATCCGACAATGTTTTCATTGTTAGGATCCGGGTGTTCTGTTAAGTAGCGCTGTATCAGATCGCGCGCCTCCTCCGCGCTAAACCTGGACAAATTAAATTCAGAAAATCAGTATTCTGAACCCTTAAACACTTTCATCGACAGGAAATAATAATAAATTTAATGGAACATTTCACTATTGTCCAAGTTTCATAACACTTTAGATCGCGGCACGTGAATTAAAACTTGCGCAATAAAATTTTAGGGGTTCATTTGAATTGCGCCGCGAGGGGCCGCGCGTAACCAAAGTAACACTGTAACCATAGCAACGTGGGGCGGCAGTCAATATGAGGCCCACTTCGCCTCCCTAAAATCGCGCACGAAGTTTTCACTTCTATGACATTTATATTTCTATCAAATGTGTGGTTATTCGACAACAAAAATATGTTACCAATAAATACATACTTAGACAGCGTGTAGTTACCATCGCGACAATAAATGAACACACATATAGGGGGTAAGTTTTCAAAGTTGTATTAAACATTTCAATTCTTTAAACATCAATATTTACAGAGTTATTAAATTTTCCAAAACAAAGAATTTTAGAACACCCTTACCTATAAAAGTGTAACGTAAAATTCATTTGTAAAGGTCACAAAGCATATGAATGGGTTGAATGAATTTAAAAGAGACAAAACATACTGTTAGAAGGAGAGGCTTGTAATACGACGCTGTGGCGCGAGTTGTATAGGATGTTACAAATTTTGTTTCTTTTTTACTTAATTAGTTTGTTTGAAAAATATTTTTTTTAATTATGGATTTTGTTTAACGTTAATATTTTTTTATGATTATTGGCACGTAGCGTTAGACGTGTGTTCATTTATTGTCGCGATGGTAACGACACGCTGTATACATACAACTTTATAAAAAATATATTTAAATGTGACGAATTCACAGTTTTTTTTTTCATTTAAGACTTGAATTTCCCGGGCAACCGCGGAGCATGCGTCTTACTTTTAACAACACACTAAGCGGACGATCTCCATTTTGGTTCATCTTACGTGTCGCGATGTGTGCCTACGGACAAACACACAAACAGAGATAAAGAATATGCGCGCCTCACCTGAAATATATATGGATCCTGTCGATATATCTGCAGTAGAGTCGAATCGGATGTGTGACTTCTGTCTGCCTGTCCTGGTAGGAGAGGAAGTCGTTGGGCAGTTGGGGTGGGCCGGCCATTTCGCTGGCGCGCTGCAGGCCCAGCACCAGAAGATCTAGCACCAGACCGTAGTATTGCACGATGAACGAGGCGAATTGCAAGCCGCGGATGATACCGTAGGAGTTTGTGTGGTTCATGTCCTACAAAGAATTTATTATTAGGTACATATGATCGATTATTATCACTGCTTACTACTATCCCAAGTGGAGAGTTTGTATTAATATTATGGGTGTGGATAGGGTTGGGTAGTAAGTTCCAACGACCAATGCGACCTTGAAATATTTATTGAAGTTATCTCGTAGAAATCATTGCCCCCTTTACTGAACAGATAGCGTTATCCTCTGTTGTAAGGATTTTTTTTACACACATAAATTTCTCGTGGACAAACAATTATCCAAAACAATTATCTGTGTCAGATAAACATTTTTCTCATGCTCGAATCGAACCCACGAGCCTGGCGCCGAAGCCAATACAATGGCAACTGCGCTAAGGATTCATCAGGTTCAGAGACTTTGATGGTCAAATTATCACTAGTATGTCACAAGGAGACTGAATTTTAATTATTACAATAATAATATCTAACTATTTTATATAACTTATTTGAATTACCTTATGATCAATTGTTCGTAATAAATACAGAATATAATTATGTATATACCTTGCAATTTTTTATACATTTGGACCGGTTTTTCTGTATGCATATGTTATTAATCGCAATTTACCTTGTAATTGATTACGACGTTGTTCTTGGCGGTCATATAATCGGCGATGTTGTGATCTACTATCAGCCGCAGCAGCCGATTGAGTAGCGTGAGATCGATCTTCTCATAGAGCTTCTCAAAGCGGGACTCTAGAAGGACGTTGCATTCGCCCTCTCCCACCTCCCAAACATCTTGCAAGTTGTTGATGCCTAAATGTAAAGGTAGTGGGGTTAGTATTTTGTATCAGTTAAAATCTTTGTTATTTTTTTTACAAGTACACTGTGGTAAAGCCATGCGGAAGCATCTGCTGTTGCATGAGAAAGGAGGCTCATTATATGAGAACTGCCATGACCTCACATAAGACCAATGTAGTGAAAAAAATTCATTGTTTTGCATTTTATAGATGAATGAAATCAACTAGTTACCAGAAGGCAACATTAGTGTAACCCTATGTGTTGCAGCTGGCGTAAGTGACTTATAATTGAACATTTGAACCATTGATATTCACATATTACTCTTGACCATACCATGATTGTATGCTACTTGCAACATTTATAAAATGTCATGAACATGAATTGGAATAAAAAACGGTGAAAATATTTCCATTTAATAATCTGACCAATTGCCTACTCAATTGCCACCTTCTCCTATAAAAACTACTACTTGTTACTAACATCAAGTTGGAAGTGCAAAACAAATTGATGATATATAGAATTATTGTGTGGAGATCAGACAATATATGATAAAAAATTAAGCAATTTTTTTATGAAAACATAAACATCATAGCTAAATTATATTTGATTTTTTTTTGTAAATTCCTCTTTAACAAATGCTGTATCCATGATTTTTCATTGGGGAAAGTTTAAAAAAGTTGTATCAAATGTAACCATTGTTTTTTTTGTAAATATTAGTTGTTAGTAAAATTAATTTGACAATTAAATTGTATAGATTATCAAACAGCCAAGATATATTTTTTAATATGTTAGACACAGAATAATACATACAGTAAATAAAGTCAATACAAAATACAGGGTTCTTGATCTTCTCCAATTGCGATGAATGTGCAATCAACCAAAGTGAGGTTTGTAACAAGGGGATGGTACAACCATAATAATCTCCTTTGCCACAACGCACACTGTGGGTGATCACTACAATTTCTTGTACAGATCGCCTGATTTTAAATTTGTGTAGAGTATATAAAAAGAAAAACGTGTATGCACGACTGTACGCATGAAGATATACTTCTTTGGGGTAACAAAACTGTTTGTGAAAAACATTAAATGCAATTATAATGGTTTAATTAAAAAACTTAGGATTATAGGTAAATGTCAAAAAGTTTAGGTTGACATGGTAATACCGTGAAGGTGATCGAAGTTGATCGCAACCAACTTCATCGTGTTGTTTTAGGCTGTCGTTGTACGCGCGCATTGTAAAACTTTTACATATATATATTTTTTTAAAACAAGCCAAAAGAAGTATAACTTCAAAAATGGTGTTACAGATCCTTCTTATAATAAAAGTATGTAAATATAAGTAAACAATGAACTTTTTAGCATCCTCAGTTTACATAAAAAATACTAAATGTAATAAAGTAATACGAAAGCCACAAACATTTACATTTGATGCTTAAAATACAATTGAAAATGATAGGTATTTGGAAACAGATTACAATTCATCATACCTTGACACCATTTGTAGACCAGAAGTGGTGATGGCTCTGTATCGGCCGGTTTAACCCACGGCGGGAGTAGACGGCGTTTATCTGCCTCGTACCACAAGTACTGGTCGAGGTAGGCATCAGTGATCTTCTCCAGAGGCTCAACATCGTAAACGGGCACTAGATGCGAGTAGAGATCCATAAACTCAATACCCACCTGTTAAAATAATTAGGTATATAATAAATATAAGCGAAAACCGTTGAAATTTGTATTTACAATATACATATCATCTATTACTAATAGAGATATGAATGCCAATTTGAATGAGCATTAGGAAAAAAGCCGATTGGAATGAGATTAGTGGTTTATCTAATTACTGTAATATTCATGTATACTATATACAAACTCACTATGTCTATTGCTGAAAACCGCAATAAAATCCATATTTTAAAAAGATCTAAGTCTACAAACATCGGTTCAGACTTTGGTTTATACTATTTAAGATAATCTAGCATACCTCTCTAAAAGTCCTTTGTGTTAGCAAATGACGCTTGATCCTGGATAACGCCTCGTGCGGGTTGTCATATGCCTGTTCAATTAGCCCCAACTCTTCCCTCTGACTTTGATTCAGACGAGACTTTACGCTGTAAGCTTCTTTTAGTCTCTCCAAAGCAAGAATCAATAGTTTTGTGTCATGTTTATATGACAGTGGAGGGAAAGGTATTGGTGCAAATCTTCTGGATTCAAGCCAATGGACAGTGGTAGTATAGATCGCAACAGCTTCTTCAGGTGAAATATAAGGTCCATCCTATAGAAATAATAACATATAAACTTAATAAAAATCTTACCGGCCCAAGAATTTGTTTATTTTTGAAGAAAGTGATAATGTAAAACATCAAAAGTCAATAGACCAAAGAGTCACAGTCAATCAATTCATAATCTTTCTTCTGCTCTTATCACACACTAGGTGAGTTCGGCACAACATATTATTTCCATCCACTCTCCTCTACTGGCCGTCATTTAATTACTCACCCCTTTCACAGAAATATCATTCTTCACAAAGTCCATCCAAATCATTCTCAATCAATTCATTCATATTCATCATTCTCATTCAATTTCAATATTATATTAAAAATTTATTTTTAAAGAGGACATAAGAGTACCTTCAAATAGTTATGCTGTCGCTCCTGCTCGGCCTTAAGGTAGAGACGAGTGAGTCGACCGAGATTCTTCTTACAGACTGTCTTGTCAACGGTGGCACCGCGACGGATCCTCTCGCGGTTATAATGCGCCGTGTTAGTCCACCAGTCGGCCTTCATCTTTACGTAGCGCAGAATCATGTTTTCTATCGGCGTGGGCAACCCTGGCACCTATCGATAAACCTTTTTCTTAACATTTACTCAACAAAATACAATTATGTGATCAATGTTAAATAAATTGTGGAAAGAAAACTGATAAGTTCATGAAATTAGTGATAAGTAAATAATTTCAGGAGATATTTTTACACATGTTAACTAGTCCCAAACTAGACAATTTTCTTCTGTAGTAAATAAACTCAATATCACAGATACTAGAAAAAACATTATCTTCATCACACAATATTGTGATCAAACCCACAGCCTTTGGAGCAAGAGATAGTTTCACTATACACTACGGAAATCATTGTATTAAAATTAAAAACAAGAAAAAACTTAGTTTAAAGAACGAAACGTAAAAGAATAACCGTAGCAGTCGCGTGTGTGTAGATGTATAACTATGGCAGAGACAAAATATGTATGGACCACTGAAGTCTAAAACACAAAATCTCTGCCCACCACTTAGAAATCGTGTTGAATATATTTTACATCAAAGAAACAAACCTTCCAGGGAATGTTAGCTTTCCAGCACCGCCATGCTTCAGACAAGTGCTGCAGTATGGTCCTGGCCTTATTCTGCTTGATACCTTCCGGCATCATATCAACAATGTCATGCATAACTGATGCGCGCAACTCCAGGTCGAAGTGGGACTCCACGCGCTGCTTTGTAACGGTCTTTGCTACACCTATTTATGAAAGAAATTGGTTTACATCAAGAATATAAAATCTATTCTAATAATTCAAAATGATTTGGTGGAACTTCAGTATATAAGCAAAATATGGTAATATGCTAATTTTGAACTCCGTACCACCACAAAAGATAATACGAAGGTTTTTTAAAAATTTTATAAATATTGATATTGCGTAAATTATTAAGATTTAACTAGAAGATTTAAGAGTTAGTCTTCAGAAATTAAATGGGAACATAAAAAATATCCAGCTTTTTACATTATGACAAAATCATATAGTACTTGTAGTGCTCCCTTTATCATGTATGCGCCTGAGTAATATTTAGAACTTCATTAATCTGTATCTTTATAGAATCAAAAATAATAATAAAAAATTATTCGCTATTTATGTTACGTACCTTTGGAGTGACGACCTTCGAACTGACGAGACAAAAGGTTGCCAAGCCAACGCTCCAGTAAGGGTGTTATGCCGCGCATGAAGAACAGCCAAACTCGCCAACCAGGCGCCCAGAAACCACAACCTGGCCCTTTAGAAACGGGACCCTAAAAGCCCAAAAATGTATCATCAAACTATTGAAAAATTGGTATATTAACGATAATCAATGTTTCTAGTCTGAACTAATAAAATACTTTTCTAGACAACTTTCGTACTTTACTGTTTCGAAACAAATTTTGAACAATTTTTTAGAAAAAAAATGTAAATGTGATTTTAAATATTAACAATAATAATTTCTATATATTGACAAGTTTATTGTGGGCTTACAGTGTTGAATCTGTAGTAGATGAGGTGCTTAAGATCTTTGCACATTCGTATCTGCCTCATGAGTTTGTACTTGTAGCGATACATTCCAGTGAGTTGACCGACGTGAGCAAATATGTACTGCAAACCATCGGCAAGTTGGAAAGAGTCGACGTTGTTTAGTCGGTATTGCACGTGTGAATCCACGATCAGCTTTGTTAAACGTAGTATCTCGCGGCATAAATGGAATGCTGTTAAAATAAAAAAATTAAAATAATGTATTATTTAAATAAAAAAGCTAATATATTTTCAAGTCAATGAAGATAATTTTAAGTCTTGTTTATGATATTACACTAAACTCACCATTGCCAAATCGGGACTTCTTTCTTTCCTTTGTGGTGAGAGTTTTCACTGGTTTCAAATTGAAATTGTAGTCTAAATGAAGATAGTTAAGATTCTTGCGGTGAATCAACAGATTTAACATGTTGTAGCCCTGTCTACAAACTTGCAAGCCAGCTTCAACCCAATCCAATGTTGTAGTTTGGAAGAATTTTGTTGATTTGAATGACCGGAAGAGATATCTAGATGGAACAAGAAATACATAGAGTTATTTGACTTTGTAAAATTAGAACCATCTCTTGAAAAACTTAAATTATAACTAACCTCTTTTTCTGGGGCTTAGGTGGTCTGTGCTTCAATGCATTGAGCACATAATACTTGAGCAGTTTCTGATAAGAAACTCTGACTTTTACAGGTTGACCAGGAGGGCAATGCTCCTTGTACCATGTCTTCACTAGTGGAACATCGATGGCGCGACGTGAGCGCCCTGAAAGGCAGGAACGACAATATAAAATATGTGAAAACAGAAAAAAATATTGAATCTGAAACTATTCCAGAAATCAACTGAATACAAACATTTACTAAAATCCAAAAAAAGTACCAAATTAAATTAGTTCTGGATAAATTATGTATTTTACCAGATCTCATGTTGAAAGGCCTTGGAGCCCATAACAAAGCAATTCCATTTGCGGTGTTGTCTGTATATAATGCAGTCTCCTGAAGGAACGGCGATACCTCCTCGGGGAGTACAAACTCGTCCTCTTCAGGTACTGGATCCAAGGACTTGACAGAATGTCGGTGTGAGATGGGGTTGATCAGTGGGTCAAAATAGAATGCTGGCAAATCAGGATCCTCGGTTTTTATGTATACAACATTTGGTGTATGATACCTAAAATAAATTTCAATTAATACTGCAGCAAAGATTTGTGACATTATTTTAAGAATAAATAATGTTTAAAACATCACTTTACTTACCAGGAGAGCTGAACAAAATGTGGCAGATTGTTATACAGGTATGGAAAAGCTATTCTGTATTCAGTTCTTATTGGCTGACGAATAATAATTTTGTTAATGTCATTAAATTCATTCCAGTCTTCGTCACCAGCAGAGTTATCTTTAACGAGGGGCTCAAATTTGGGTCCACCTGGTATAGCCATATTCAATGCTTTGGCAGTAAAGAAACTCTTAGAATCAAAAAGATAGAAATAGTTGTCATCCACCAAGTCTGTTAACAGTTGGTTGGCTAGGCGATAAAGTGTTGCCATTTGTGGAAGAGTCAGGTTCCACTTTCTGTATGTAGAACCATTCACATATTTCGTGCCTACAAGAGGTTTGTGATCATAAAACCATGATGCCACAGCAGCATCTTCCTCTGGATCTAATTCAATCTGGATAGGTTCTAAGGGTTCCACATCCAAAATGTTATCAGCATAGTCTAGCGGGGGTTCCTCATCATCAAATGGAGGAAACCGCATTCTTTTGAAGTGCCTACGATCACGCTTTTCTCTACGCATCATGATCCACATGGTGCCCCACTGAGCAATGTATACAGGCTCAATTACCCATGGAATCTCATTCACAAATGTGATAGCCCCCGTGATGTGATACAGAACATTGACATCCCTGATCTGTTCCCACGGCATTGGCATATTTTCCAATAGCTTCATAACTGCATGTGGCATATATTTCAAAGCCCCAAGATATACTCTTTTGTCATGACGGTATTTTCGGCTTGTCATATCACCATGGTCCCTAATGATCTTTCTGATGTGCTCAGGTGGCATATCCTCTTTTTGCGCGTCCACGAATCCAAATTTGCGCTTTTCGGCAAACCGTTTTGATTGTAGTTGCAGCCATTTTTGAGCTGTATTAGAAAGGAAACTTTTTAATGAACAGAAATAAAATGCAAATCAAAAGATTAAGGCATTGAGAAAATGCTTGAAGGGGTCATGGGAATTATTTTGATAGTGACTATATTTTTGATTTTAGTGCTTATCTGTTGCTTAGTTACTTAATTTTGCATCAAGTTAACCATAAACTTATCATAGGAAAATTGATTTTGAAACAATTAAAAAAAATTGTATGCAATGACAGCATTTTCCATTAGTACTGGGGTGGAAAATTATATCCATGGCAAGATTAATGTACCCTCAAACTATGAGATTCATATAAAACATCTTAGTATATAAATCTTATATGTATTATAAGGGATTGTATTTAGTGAATATTAAATATATATATTGTTGTGGCAAATTTAAAATATTTTGTGTACAAAATAAATTTTTGGTCACTTCAAAAAAACTTCCTAATCAATAAATTCCAAGAAAATAAATTGATTTCTTTGGTAGTGTAGTAAAATTAAATATTTGAAATTCATTGTGATAGAAAATACTTCACATGTATCAATTTCTTAATCAGACTACATAAATAATTTTAATTATTGCTCTATTTAAATTAAAATTTTTCATAACACAAGAACTCTGATAAGGTTATTACCTATTATAATAATGAAAATAGAGCTACAATATGATTATTTAGTGTTATAAAACAAAATGTTGTAACAAAATGTTGATACACTACAGATAGAACAAAATATGTGCATGTTATAAGTCTTTTTTTTTAATCCTGCTTAATACATCTGGCTTAGTTGATGTGTAATCAACTAAGCCAAAAGTTAGCTTTTACACTGCCATATTATGCATAACAAAAGCAAATTGTTAATTTCTTGTCCTACAGTCTCACAAACAGTACTCTAAACTTATGGTAATTTAATATAAAAGAGCTGGACAAAAGCTTAGGTTGAAGTGAAGCATTGTTCATCCATTGTAAACATGACTACCTCCTTGTTCACCTATGCAGGATCTATTTTGGTTGAAATTAATAAGTACATCATTGTTCTTTGCATGCATTGTGAATTCTTTTGTTCCACAACTCACAGGAGTCTTTCTGCTTGCTTATTGCATTGTACACATTTTGTCACACACATTTTGATGCCCACCTGACATGTTCTGACTGTCACTAATGGGCAAGTAATAAAAACATCAAATTTGTCTTTTGTGCAGTGCTTTAAGCTGTGTTCACCTTCTTAACATAAAAATTACCATGATGTGGATTTCTATTTAGAAGATGATTAACCTACCAAATTTACTTTGGTAGACAAGGAATCGTTAAATTTGTGATGAATGTTAGAGCCTATAGTAATATTTATTTATTTATAGGAACCCATCGCCGTTGACCTGGTTAAGATGTAAACTAACATCAAATACTGCACCAAAATATTTAACTACCTTATTAATGTATATATTATACGATAAGTTTAAACATACAGTTTATACATACAATAAGATGAAATAGTGCCGTGTAATCTAGCATTAACACCAACACTACCGATGTATTTTGTTAAGGTTACTTACACCATAGTGATAAAATGGATTTTCCAAGTTATAAATATTTTAAGGATCATGTCATAAAGAAGAATTTACCCTTCTCTTTTATTTTTTCTTCGGGTATATGGTGTGGTTTTGGTGGCTGTGAAGGCGGCACGGGAGGCGCAACGGCAGCGGCGGCAGCGTGCGCTTGCAAAGCCGCTTGCTGCGCTGCCGCCAACTGCTGTTGAGCCATCATGGTGGCCCAGGGGTTTGGCCCCAACAAATAGGGCGGCAGCGACATGGCTGCACGCCTTCTACAACATTAAACGGAACATAACGTTAGACATTCACTAAATTATCAATGGGCAGATTACACAGAGATGGATTTTTATGCCGGCAACCAACAAAACTTCAAAAATAAGAAATTAACTTACTTTAAGATAGCACTACAGTATTGTAATTATTATTTCACTATAACAATGAAAAAACAAACTTTTCTGTTCAAAAGAAACACCACTCAGTAAATAACAGCATTATTTCTAATGACGGCCATTTGCAAGTGAAGTGAATGAATGAAACTTGAAAAGTGTTACCAACTCCTAAAAATATGCCCGAGCCAAAAAATTATTTGTGAATAAAATAGGATCGTGCCAATGTTTTTTTTTTTTGATCGAACAAACCATAGATAAGACATATATACTGAAACAATCTATATAGACATATATACTGGCACAATTGTTACTACGATTATTTAAAAAAAACGCAAATAAAAAGCAACCATCTTCATGTGATCACGTCACTTTTTGGGGGTCGGTGTGTGCACGCGTCAACCACATTTTACTCTCGTAATTTTTATCCAAACGCGCCAAAAGAAGTATTCCAAAATCAAAAAAAAAAAAAACATTCCCCGCCAATTTAAGAGTGCTTAATCAGAACAAGACGGCCTGATCAGTGCTGCAAAAACATCCATATGCAGAAGGAGAAGTTTGCTTGAATGAATGAATGCAGAGGCCTGACAAATTAATGAATGACTGAAGCTGCACCACCGCGCTCAGCGGAACAGCGCGTTTGCCGGCGAACGCGAGATCCCCGATACGCAGCCTACACAAAATGTGCCAGGTTGATTTTGAATCGCTTATGTCATGTAGTTATTTAAAACGAGTCTACCTATGATCCTCCGATCGTTGCGTAATTAATTACGAATCTTTTTAATCATTTCGGTGACTGATAATTCTCGTGATCATAGTGTTACGTAAATAATGTAACTCTATTAAACTGATTGGTTTCGTATAATAATTCTTTTTATAGTAAATTTTTTGTAATTGATCGTTCGACGTAGTTATGACTCGTGATGAAATCATAATTTCTATCTTTACTCATTTTGAATGCCACTATCCGATGAACCCTTGGGTCATTCGGAACACTTGTTCCTAAAAACGACCGTCTGTCGTCAATAAGGGTTGTGGAGATGCAATGAAGTGGATGGCGACACCGTGTCGTCGTCCTGCATCGGTATGTACCGCACATTGTTCATTGGGAGATAGACCAGATACATAAAATATTTTAGGTATATTTCGGTAAATAAAAAATATATCAGAAGCTTTGCAAGACTTGTTATGTGCTTCTGTGTCTATCGGTGACTGTCACAGAATGAATCTTAAAATATAAACTACCAAGTAACTTATGTAAGTTCTGTTCATGCAAATTAAGTCGTGCGAGTTGCAGCGATGATTTTGGTAGACGGTTCGCGAACAATTGTTCTCCCGAGTTAGCGGTTCATTCGCCTGCAGATCTTGCGACAAAGATGTTGTAGCCGCCGGGTTAATAGCTAAGTAACTAAAAAAAAGTAAGTGTGTATGTACTTATGTATGTATGTAAGAAGTTATACTTCTTGAACATAAAAAAAGAAAAATAACTAAATGTTTTATCCCGTATACCAATACTCTTTCTCTGTGAAAATTACATTTTAACAAAGACAGAGTACTGGCACACGGGATAAAATATACAACCAACTTCATGATGTCGCTTTTTGAAATTTGGTGCGAACCGTATAGATTTTACTCACATATTTTTTTTTCAAACGCGCTAAAAGACACATAACTTCAAAAATACCGGAGCCAACACCAATGAAGTGTTTATAGCAATTTTAACGGGCTCAACGGTCAACGATAAATCAATAAACTGGCACATTTCAGAAATAAGCTTTTTTCAAAACAAATTAAAAATTGTGAACACAACCAAAGAGAAGCTCGTGGTGTGTTTTAATTGTGACAGGGCAGACCGAGATCTAATATACAGTGTGCGGCTACTCTTCCGGTTTATACAGAATCAATTATAAACCTTTGTAATAATTATTAAAGATAAAACTTGATTTAATCATTTTCTGCCCAAAAATATAGTAATATGTTTTAGCTTCATCATATTAAACTTGTAAATTGAAACTATTTTTCAAGTGAAACTGTATTTATGAAGTAATAACCGAACAGCTGGCTCATTAAGCTTATTGAGCAGTACTGATTGTTTTTTATGTGAGAAAGTGGCAAACGACCTGGCGGTTCACCAAATTTTAAGTGATAACCGCCGTCCATGGACGTTTGCAACACCCGTAGGGTTGCAAATGCGTTGCCATCTTTAAATAAAGCGGGCCCCGGCTACCTCACTCATTAAACGAAACGCACAAGTTACATTTCTACTTTACGCTGGTCTTCTGTGAGGTCGTGGTACTTACCCGGACAGACCATTCTTGCAACCGTGTTGCGTGGCCCTGCCACCGTTAATTACTGAAGAATATATTGGTGTTAAAATATTTTTAAAATCTTAAAATCACAAAGAATTTTTGTGGTTTGTATTTTATTGAGTCACATACACAAATGAGACATTCATAATATTATGAATCGCGAAAGTCACACGGTGGAGTTAATATGATATTTTCTAGAGATGAAGTAAAGTTTTCTAAATCATTGTGTATTGCCATAATGGTTTCTTGTAATAATTCTTCGTCTGTTGACATAATACTATGATTGTCACTAGAAGAGGAGACAGGGTATTCTTCAATGACTTGAGTGAGGGCATCTGCTACATCGGGGTTACTTTCGAAAGATTTTGTAAATTTTTTATCAGCTTTATCCTTCATCGTGCTATCTATTGTTCTGTCTAAATCTTCATGAATAATAGCGTCAACAGATTTGCATAAGTCCTCAGTCGTGTCAGACTTTAATGCATCTCTGCTTTGTTCATCTGAGGCAGTGTCGTTCCTACTCAACTGCGAAGAATAATTATAGCATACTAATGGTGTTTTTGGTGTCTTTTGCATGTCATCCATATTGTCTGAACTTATTTCATTATCATCATTACATTCCGTTTGGCTTGGGACTGTATTTAGTAATTCAGTTGATAATTTAACCGTTGCAAAATGGTTATCTTCAATATTTTTACTATTATCTTTCTTAATTTTTCTTGTTGTTGGTAATACCGAAATTTCTGGTGGACTCTTATGTACGAAATCGTCGCCAGTAGATTTAGTCGTTTCTTCCGTTACAGAATTGGTGCTTTTTATGTTTCCTTGTTCAATGTTCATTTTTATATAATTAAAACTAACGTTATTACTGTATGAAATACTTTCGGATGGTTCATGGGTAGATTCATTGGACTCGTTACTTAAAGTTCTTTGAGATTTGAGCCTCTCGATTAATTGTCGGTTGGCTATTTTAAATCCTCGAAGCATTTCTTTAACTTTTTCTTTAGATTTTGGATGTTTTCTAATTTGTTTTCCTATGTCCGCTTTAAGTTTGTACAGAATTTCATCGTCGGTTCGCACCCTATTCACCGTTGATCGTGTCTGTAAGGATATATTAAAATAACAAAATAAAATAAATTAAATAGAATATTATTCATTGAGCCGTGATAGCTCAGTGTCCGGGCGCTCTTTTTCGCGGCGCTCAGTCTCCGGGCCTTTAATTCAATATACTCGAGCAACCAGAGTTCGATCCACGATGCCGGCACCAATAAAATTGTTAATTTTAAGTGCTGAATTATCACGTGCTCAGCGGTGAAGGAAAACATCGTGAGGAAACCTGCATATTTTCGAAATAATAACAAAAAAAAAAAATATTTCGAAGATATGTGAAGTCCACCAATCCGCAGTGGGGCCGCGTGGTGGACTATGCCCTGATACCCTCTATATAGAGGAGGCCTTTGCCCAGCAGTGGGGCATGTATAGGCTGATACTTTACTTTTTATTCATAATTTATTCTGCTATTATCTAATATATATTTTATTGTAATTTATTTTTAGTAAAACTGTGAAAATCTAGAAAAAATAATTATATTAATTCATGTTATAATATACTTAAAAGCATCATTTTATACTATATATAAAAGTGCATTCTCAAACATAACATCATCTCTCCCAGTGGCCATGTGGAGTTGTTAAAAAAAAACTAGCTGTAATTTCTTGGTTACCTCGAAGGAAATCCAGTAAGAAAACACCTGTATAATCAAGAACACTCTTTTGACTTTACACTTGTATCAATGTTACATTAGGCCATTATTTTTCGATGTACACGAAAAAGATGGATAACGGATTGCATCGCAGTAACATATTTTTTCTTAAACCCACACAAAACGACTACATAAATACAGTATAGTACTTTTTTTTAAGGATTGGTATATTTAGAAACAACTGAAAATGTTTAAAGCGTTTATCACCGAATTTTATTAATTTAATTAATATCACCATCAAAGGTTCGTCAATCAGCTCTGCCAGTTCCCGGGCGAGATTAACAATTTCTTCGGGCATGTTCGTCATAGCTGCTAGCGATAAGCCGTAGTTTTCGATTTTCGTAACACCCGGTTCAATTTTATGCTTATATACCAACCGGGATTGTGGGTTATCTGTGCCCACGAGTTCTTCGGTCACCAAAGTATGACAACTGTCGACATGGCAATTACCATAATTATGATTATTTAGTGCACATTATTCGACGACTACAATACTGTAGACCTTTCTAGGTCGTAGTGGTCCTTGGAACTTACTACATAACCCCTTCTCCGAAAAATTATTATTCTGATATGTTTTTCTCTCTATGTAAAAGTTGTCAAGCGAGCAGGCGGTTCACCTGATCTTAAGGGATAACCGCCGCTCATAGACATTTGCAACACCGTCGGGTTGCAGATGCGTTGCCATCTTTTAATAAAATGACCATTTTATTAAAAGATGGCAACCACCTACCAAACCCACCAGACGAAACGCAGAAGTATAGCGCTTCCTCTTCAAGCTGGTCTTCTGTGTGGTCGTGGTACT